CCTACACGAGATTCAACTATCTGACAAGAAACAATCAACAGATAGCGAAGTCAGATGCCAAAAACCACTGCTTGCTTCATAACTATATAGTATAACATACATACATACATACATATATATGTGTGGATGTAGCTGTAGCCACGCCAACGGCCCACGCCAGACCAGATTGGAAGTTCAGGGTCCATCGGAGACATGAGGAGGTGGAATCTCATAATTTAAGGCACGAACGAATTGCCCTCTTACACGTGGACGCTGCTCTGCTAATTTCTTCCTGCTCTGATATCGAACCTGTAAAAAAGAAAAACACATCATCATCATCATCATCATCATCATTCCAAAATGTTTTTTTTTCTTCTCATGTAAAGATATGCATTGGGGATCTTTACCCTTTTCTCAAAGCATCGATCTTTCCTCTTCATCCGGAACTTCGAGAGAGCTGCTTCTCTTTGTCTCCATCTTTGCTGTTCCATTGTCCCTCTTAGCCCATCATCCTCTGCAGCACTTTGTTCTTCCTTCGACTTCTCTGTACTGCAACTTTGACAGCCAAGCTCCAGTTCCTGGCCAGCTTTCATTGTTTCCTCGGATCCGACCAATGTTTCTCGAGAAAAGGGGGAATCTTTTTGTGGGTTCGCCTGAAGAACTTGGTTTAGGTAGCTGAAGTCAGACTGTCCGTATTGCCCACTTATGCACGATCCCATATTCTCTTGGTTGTTGCTGCTTGTTGTGACGCTTTGTATATCAGAGCTCACCATTTTGAACTGTTCATGCGATTCAGTCGACGTTTTGGGCTCAGATGAACTACTTGTAGCAGCAGCAACAACGACTGGCTTTCCATTGTCATATCTGAAAATGGGAAAATGAAATTGATATTAGATGATCAAAAGCAAATGCCCATTTGAGAGATATGATATCTGAGATACCAAGCAGCTTACCGTGAGAAGGCAGAGTTGTTGGATTGGCAAAGCATTTGTCTTTCACTTTCATATTGGTCCTTGGAGGTTCTGGGGCTGAATCTTTTCAGAGAAAGTTCGAGTTCCGGACAGACATTCTCGGTATAACAATCGACTCCATTAAGGCAATTGGGCTGCTCGTCAAATGCACCTATCAAATCCATCGTCATACCAGACGATTCAGACATTTTCTCCCTCCAGACAGAGTTAACTACATGTCTGCCAAGATCTGCTGTTCCATCTCTTCCACCCAACAGCATGTTTCCTCCTCCAGTTCCAGCCTTAGCAAGCTTTTCTGAAACTGATAGCTCGTCAAAACGCCTATACATACAATTACATACTTTTTACAATCAAATTAAACAAAAGGCAGCACATCAAATTCTACCTTCTATTTGATTCAAAGGAGTAGCTAATTCTTTCACTGATTTGGCATTCTCCCTAAGCATGGTTGGAATGCCACCATCAGCTTGCTTTGCCCTCGAGATGCCATGAGATGAGCAAGAGCTCTGCAGAACAATGCATTCGCTACGTAAAAAACCTCGTGGAGGTAAAGTGGAAAAGAAAAAGAGGAGATTCCCTCATTGACAGCCATAGACATAGACCAGCCTCTTATCTGGCTGCCCCATCAAATACATCCATGACCATCACACCAAGGCAACATGCTGATGGTAAACTATATAACAAACATATCGACACAATATCCACCATGGCAATTAACTTACCTGAACATCAAATCCTTTTCTGTTCGTATTTTTGCAGGTAGTAGAAGTCAAGTAATCTCTGGATTCTGTGCTGTTTTCAGCTGTAGCTTCGAGCTTAGGCTCTGAAGCCGGTAAGCCATGATGAACAGGCGGAGCGGACAACTGAATCATAGGGACATGGCATTAGTCTTTTGTCAGCAAAATTCATCAGAGGAAGGTATCATAATTCTGAAAGAAACATCAAGAAGAACCATAAGAAAGTGACTCACTGCATGCCTTCTCCAGACATGCTGCCATAGATTCCTCAGCTCATTCTTCCTGACAGGTTTGATAAGATAATCAGCCGCTCCCTTCAACAGGCACTTCAAGACCATACCAAACGAATCTTGCGAGGACATCACTACACATTCCATCAAACAAAACATAACTATCAAGACGACCGTAACAGATCAAATCCATGGAAGAGAGAAAGTTATGCTGAAACATCAAAATAGAACTCCAAGATCATCGGCCTACTTATGACTGGAATGTTCTTGCAAGTTTCATGCTCCATGACCAGCGTAAGAAGCGCAAAACCAGATATCAACGGCAAATCCAGCTCGGTTAGGACAAGGTCTATGCTCTGTGGCCGCCCTTTCAGAGTCTCCCACGCCGTTAAACCATCCGGAACAGCAGAAACTGCAAAATTTCATTGATAAATCAAGTTAAGTTTCCAAGAACAGAACCCGAAAACATTAGGAGACTAGAAAGTTCATTCTACATCATGAAATCCAAACTTGTTGGTACATCACACAAACTCAGATTATGTCCCACGCATATTTTATCAGACCACCATCTGAGATAACAGAAGTATGAACATTGACATACATAAAAAGAGACATATACAAGCACATACGTACAGAGACCAACATGCCAGCAATGGTCAGGTTGGAAAAGGAAATGGAGGGAAACAAATCTTTAAGGTTAATGGAGAGTTCGACCTCTGTAATTGCATTTGCGGAGAAGATCGGAGATGACATGGCGAGTGGAGTCATCGGCTTCGACGAGCAAAACCCTAAGCACTATTTTCGGCATGTATTTTTCCCACAGGACAACTCCCGACGACTGTCCTCCGCCGTCGATCGTCTTCCTCCCCTCCTCCGCCTCCATGCCGTCGTCGCTACTCACAACCACCACCTCAACCATCGGAGACCCACAAAGCAGAATCAGAGAAAATTCCTAATCTTTCGAAAAACCGAGAAAAAAAACAGGACACCAGAACAGGACAAAGCTACGGAATCACTGGGAAAATGATTTCCGATCAAGGAAGAGGAGAAAGAAGAAAATATCTGACAATCTAGCGAGGGAGAGAAGCAACGACTGGCCTTGGAATCTAGCAATCAACTTTCGATCTCAACCACTAATATCAAAGGAAAATATCTTCCCCCAAATACGAGTCCCCGAAAGAAAAATATTACATTTGTAGAAAAACTCTCAGAATCCAGCAACCTCAAAGCTCAACTCTGATGCTAATACATTAATTAATCCAAAATGAAATTTAATCCAGAACTAATCTAATCCTATAAACTATAAAGTATAATTTTAATTTATTTAACAAAGAATTTCCGATTGGAAATTTTTTTTATTTCAAAATTCTGATTCTTGATTTCTTTTAAATCAAATGGCATATCAAAAGGAGGGCCGACATTCAGTTGCGGTGGGGTGGGGCTGACGTGGCGGAACTAGGGCTTCTGTTTTTGATATTTTGGAATGCAATGGTTGATTTTCGGGGCAGATCCGCATGACACGTGTCGAGCTGCTAGTGTTTCGGTAGTGGAGACTTTTGTCGCCAGAGCTGCCACGCAAGCAACGAGGATCTCGTGGTCATATGGACGACACGTGGACTTCTAATTTTTTTGGACATTGATTTAAATTAGTTTTTATATTGTTTCATTCCATACTCATACTGGATGTGTTTTTTTTTTCTTTGGAAAGGATAAACGGGACGTGACGAATATTATTTTCTTTATTCGGAATAAAAAAAAAACGGTCCACTAATTTTATGTTAGCGTAAAGATTTAAATATGCCACTATCAATAAACAAACCGATCATTTCTTTTATCGGACCGGGCAGCCATTCTAACACAGAGGCCCATCTAAATTTTTATGGCCCATATAAAGTGGCTATTGGGCCTCATATGGATTTGGGCCGATGATAATTAGAGAACGTTGGCTCGAGTCTGTCGCATATGAGACGGGCAGAAAGATCCATCTCTGCCAACCCAACGGTCTTTTGACCGAAAACTTTGTACCTTAAAGATCCCATTAGGAATCCAAAGACGATGACTTTAAGGCACGAACCGAGAGACAATGATGCATCGTATTTTTGTTCTTTTGGGTTTCCCCAGAACTGGGTTAAAGACCTTATCTTTATAAAAAAAGTTATAATCATTGAACAAAAAACGATCCAAGAACAGCAGCAGATAACAAACGCAAAGAATTACAAAGTTAACCAAGATATATGAAAGAAAGGGCTAAAGCTTATCCGAAGCAAGCCCCCTTCTTGAATCAGTTCAAAGGTTCAAAAGAATACATAAAACGGATCTTCTGAACCTAAATTTAAGAAAGAAAAAACTTATCGAATTCAGAGTTGTGTAAATGGACGCTTTTTGCATCCAACACCGGAATCATTCGAAATGAAACCGGTTTTTTTTTTCTTGGATGGAGGGAATCCAAGGCCACCTATTCCTCGGATTCTTACCTGATGAGATGAATGTCGGAAAGTAAAGAATGTGATGGCTCCCTAGAGTCCTAGCTAGTTCTAGATTTTCATAAGTAATCAGGAAAAAAAAAATAAAGAAAACCAATGGACTGCCTACTAAGTGATCATGTTGTAGAATGCTGTGGATGGTAAACTTTGCATGGTTCTGTAGCAGGTATCCGCCTGTTTGAGCACTCAATCGTTGGCTTTGATCGTCATGTGCTTCTTGTTTCACTGTTATGATCAAGACCCTTTTTTTTTATGGATGTGATTGATCTCGTTAGTGGCCGGACGACAAGATCATGTCTGTTGTTTCTCTCCAGCTGCAGTTGCAGATGTTGTAGCCGTCGCTGTCGTTGTTCTTGGTGAGGGCCCCGCCGTTGCAGATGGAATTGGCGCTGCTGCTGCTGCGGCTACAGACGTTACCCCAACTCCAACTGACCAATCAAATGCAAGATAATAACATGGATCAAGAACCACGAAATGATACAAGCTTTCACAGAGATGAGACAAGAAATGATATAAGCAAAAGGGTGAAACCTGAAGAAGAAGAAGAAGAAGACAGAGTGAAAGATGTCGGAAGGGAGAGGATGGGAGGCGGAGGAGGCAAGTAAGGGTACTGCAGAAGAGAAGGAGCGTATTGAAGGCCATAACCATGATGACCATGAGCTTGGGCGCTGCTGCCACTCTGCGTGCTGTACTGTGGGTAGAACGGGTGGTAGAAACCATGGAACATGCCACCAGCTGACCCCGATGGCCCGTAATATGGCGAGAACTGCTGTCCTCCATACATATGGTTGTAGTAATTCTGCACATACATGAGTTAGATATTTCACATTGGAGAAAGAAGGGTATACAATACAATATATGGTTCGAGTAACTAACCATGGGGTACATGCCCTCTTGAGAATAACCAGCAAACCTTCAAACCCAAGAAGAAAAGAATGACCAGGATGGTTACAATGAAATTGCTGAGCATATCATATATATGTATATATGCATGTATGCTTACCCGTAACCAGGATATGGAAATGCAAATTGAGCAGCGGGTTGATGATGCTGAACTGAACCTCCCTGTTCCTGCATTTCACAGTTCTCTCAAAGAATCACTGAAACAACCATATCTATGTCTTCTCCTTTTTAGATCTTAATTATACCTTGACGATTTACCAATAAGATAAACTGTATGTTCCATTCCAGTTCCACCAACCAAACACTTTACGTGACTTGCTTCAGAAAGCAGATGCATTCTAGGCTTAAAGAGAGATGGTTAAAAAGGAAAAAGAAGAAGAAGAAGAAGTAGAAAACCATGTCTTGGAGTTTTCTGGGCACCGAGGCAAGCAAGATTACAATTTGCTCTTCTTCCATCGATCACCGGAGATATGTTTTCGCAGGCTCTCATCGCCGCCGCCGGTTCCTTAAACGTCACCTGAAAATGCATACCCAGAAAGTGAATCAAACAAATATGATCCTACAAGATTGTTCGTTTGTGTCGAGAGAAAAGAAAACTGAAGACATTACAAATCCATATCCTTTGGATCTTCCGGTGTTCCTGTCCGTAATGACGACGGCTTCGACAATCTCGCCAAACTGCTCGAAATAACGCTTCATCGTATCTCTCTTCGTCTCCCACGCCAACCCACCAACGAAGATCTTCGTCAACGTCGTATCGTTATGCGACGCCGTGTTGGCCCCACCACCTTCCATCTGAAACTGTCTCTGTTGAGCCATCGCCGAAATGTTCCAGGAGAGAGAAACCAGAAATACCCAGATGCCCAAAATTGAAAACAACGCCCAGACAATCCTCAATTCACATCAAAGGAACCATTTTTCTTTCACTTTTCCATTTCCTGTTCGGGCTCGTCACTGGTTTTCTCAACCAATCCCCAAAACTGCAACCTTTCCCCCTCCCAATACGAAAAAAAAAAATGAAACCCTTTATATGTATTGCAAAAACAGAGGAAGAAGAAGGACGATTACACGGAAGGATGGAGTTTTCTCTTGAGGGTAATTAGGGGGGGGAAAAACAAGGGAGAAGACAAGAAAGCTGCAAGTGGGAACCCACGACAATGGCCGGAGAGAGAGGAGACAGAGAGAGCCAACGAAATATGAGAAAAGCCAGAGACCTGATTTCACCTTTTCTTTTTTCCTCCCTGTTATGTATATACATACATTCGCTTATATAATATAGTGTATATGTGCGTGCATCTGTGTTGGGTCCGATGCATAACATCTGCTTCGCTGTCTTCAACCTCCTCTTGAAATCTCCATCTTTCTGGAAATGTTTTTAAAAAAAAAACACCAAGCTCTGAAAAAGAGCGAGAAAAAAAGTAGTAATCTTCTATTGGCTGATCGATCGTCTCTCTTTAAACACGAGAATCTGATTAATATTTTTCATTTAAATTCCTGAAAAAAATATGTGTGTTCTAATTTTTTTAATATTTTGTTGGATTTGTGTTCGTTGTTATTTTTTTAATAATAAAAAAAAAATCTGGAGAGGCGTATCTGTATAACGGAAAATAGGGATAGTAAGAGAAAATTGGTATTAGGTTTTAGTGGGCCTATCCTTTTTCTGGTGATTTGATTTTTTTGCTAATTCTTAGAAATAATGTATTTAATGATAATTAATAGTAGGGCAACTCCTTAATTTCCCTCTCTAACGTTTGTAAGAGCTAATCAACTTTAAATTTGCTTCTAATAGCAGTTCTTCACGATATCATCAATAACTTAAAGAAGCTAGCTGATTTTTTTGTGAATGCAATGAAATTTTAATTTTAATATCACCTTTCTTTGCCATATTTATAAATTTGGATCAAGTCCTGTACCCATCTGCAGATATACATGACTATATATATGTATATATATATATGGTACACACATGCATGGATATCTATGATAACATTGCATGCATGCAAGCATATGTGTGATAATGGATGGTGTTGCACAGTGATTTATCCACATGAAGGCTGCAAGATACAGGCAGGCATGCACATGCTTCTGCCCAGCGGCTTCCCATTATTATTATTACCACCCAATAGAAATCCGAGTATTGTTTTTTTTTTTCCACTAACTGCAAATGCACCGCTGGATGACGTGCGCCTTTTCATCCAACGGTAAATATTAAACGGTTTTCGTGGTCCAGCGGGCATGGGATCATGAATCTTGATCATGTTTGAATAGATGACACGTGGCATACCTTCGGTTTGACCCTTCAACGCCTAAGTCACGTGGCGGAATATTCCCACGCCGCGTGTGTGCCTTCGAAAAGCACCAATACATACAACGACCAAAAAAAAAAAAAACTGTCCCTCGTTCAATATGTGGGCCTTCGTAAAACTACCAACCGAAAGCCCATTGCATAGTTAATATTGGATCACAAAATATATATATATATATTACACATATATATATATATGTATGCTGATATCTCGTCATGATTTCGATGATATATTTCCAGTATATCAAACAATTTACAATTGTATACTATATGATCTTGAATTTGAATGTACATAAATACATATATGTTGGTTATTCCTCCTTGATGGACACCAATCTCCGGCCTCGACGGATCATGATATCGTCGTGGTCGGATATAACTACAGGCTCTGGTAAACGGCCTTCCATATACTCTTTAACGATCAGAAAACCAAGCTTACCACCACCGTCGGATTCCTTATCGATATCGGCACGTGCCAAAATCTCTTCGAATTGATCTATTCTCATACGTACTTTGATCCTTAGGATCCTCCTGTCCATGGGCGGCGGCTGAATGCGACTCTTCTCTTCCTCCACTGCGTAGATCCTCCTCAGACAGTTTCCCATCTATATCTCTCTCTCTGTGCTCCTGTATATATGAATATGGATATATATTGATGGGTTTGATTTCGTGAATACGTATGTACACACGTATTTATATATCTGATACGGATCACGTGTATAGAAGGAATTGAGTAAGGTGGTGAATATCCGTGCATGGGCCATGCAAGTTAAAATTGAAGTGTCGTCCTGGTTCACGTGTTTTGGTGACGTATAGAGCCTCTCAATTCTCTTGAGTGAGAACACTGAATTCCATTTGCCATCTATCATAAAGTAGTCGTAAGCCAACGCCTTTAAATTTTTCTTTGGTCTAATCTCTTATTCTTTTTCGAAATCACTCAACACGGTTGTTCGCCCATCTCAAAAAAAAAAAAAAAAAAAAAATTAAGGAATCTAAATTTCGGATGTCATGTTGGGCCTGTGGTTGGTTCGTTAAGTAATATTGGGCTTCATATTTTCCGTGAGGGCTTTGAGACATAGGCCTTGTAAGGCCCAATGAAGCGCTTTATTCTATCCTGTCCAGGCCTTGGAATGAATTTTGTCTCGGCCTACGTCATTATCTATTTTCTTTTTTTTTGGTAACGTCATTATCTATTTTTTTTTTGTTAACTGTAAATTTATATTAATCGAAACCTTTTACAACCGGATATTAATCTAGATATGAACATGCATATATACATATATATATATATATATATATATATAATAACTCGTTGAGAGAAATAGTGATAACTCAAAATAATTAAAATAACAAATAGACATTTCACCATATATATTACTCAAAATGTTAACATTAATATAAAAATATTTTTTTTAAAAGCCTCGATCGGATCTATATGAATACATAATAAAACAACGAAGCGATAAATTAAAAATCGTATAACGTCTCCACATGGTAGTAGCATCTATTATATAATAGGAATATGCAATATCCCCGCTTTTAAATTATTTTCTATTCAATTGTGTATATATATAATATGATCTTGCACACCGTACGTATACGTATATATATATATAACAGTACTGTGCAGTTTGACCATGCATGACTAAGGTTAGACATAAATAATTTCATTATTTTGTATTTTAAAATCTACGTAACTTTTTTTGTTGGTGAGAAAAATCTACGTGACTTGGTTTCATGCATACAATACAACGATATAAATTATATAATTAGTTCATCCAAGAGATACTTTGTGCGGAAGAACCCAAATATTAAACGACAAAGATTTTATTAAAAATCCAAATTTGATTTGGAATCAGGTGCCCCGCCGATATCATCGGCAAGCGAGATTGAAAGGTATTATTCATATTTAAAAAATACAATATGCTTTAACAAAAAAAAAAAAGGAACAATACGCTAGAGCAAGGCCAAATGCTTTGAAAAAAAAATCCAAGTATAAGATAACACTAAAACAAAAAAATAATGCTACAGAAAAAAAATTATTATTTTAAATACGATTTTGTCACTAATTAGAAAATAAATTTATAATATAAATTTGATTCGTTTTTCTAATTTATAACATAAATATTTTGAGTAAATATTTAGAAATTATTATTAGAAATCTCGATACTTTGGAGAAGCATCATTTAGTTGCAGTATATATATCGTATTGACAAATAATATATATATATATATTGATGATTGTTCAATATAAAAAGAGATTCGTGGAAAGTCTGCAGAAGAGATTGGTGAATATGAGGAACATAGAAAATAGAATGATAAAAAGAATAAGCAAAGAACAAACAAAACAAATTTGTATGTTTTGTATGCATTACAAGGCCCACGTAAAAAATAATATATAGCACGAGGATCGTTAGGGTTTGGCTATGTATTATTATTTTACAATTCCTACGTGGATTATATAAAATGGCAGACCATACGTCTATTTTGCATATTAATCTTCCCAAGATTTGTTACGATTTGGTCTACATATTGTTTCATCAATTTAATCATACAATTTGGACGGTTCTCTCGTTAATTAATACACCAATAATTATAACATGTACCAAATTATCGATCGATACTCAAGGGCTTACATCACTGTTTTGTTTTATATAGTTATTTTTTTTATGTTATTAACCACGTGACTTTTTCTATTTGTTTTCTGTTTTTATTTATATCCCATGAATGTTTGTTGCTTATTTTGTTTTATATTGACATGTACCAAATTTGCCCAACACTTCTCGGTATTATATATACGATGGGCGTAGCTCTACACTAATCCAAGGATTATCGCAAAGAACATCATGTGAGATAAAAAGAACAATTAAAAACGTTTATTTTGCAAAAATATATAATTTTATTTGCTTTTTAAAACAGTAACATTTTTTACTTCAAATTTGTTAACTAATTTATGAGCTCCGACAATATATATATATATATATATATATATAATTGTGACAACTATTTTTGTAATATTCTCACTGTCTTGGTGGTGGTGTCTAATCTACTGAACCATGTTCTGTTTGATAAATGTACGTGTAATGTCTTATACGTTTCACGTTCCGAATGCTGCCATAAATAAAGCTAACGATTAAATTTGAGTAACATTATTTTGATCAAATGGGATAGATTTCAACATGTATACATGGGTTGGTTCAGAAATTTATTTATTGATTAATTAAACAACTTGTCGATAGTTTATTGATATATTCGGTTGTTTTGTTCTTTTTTAATTTGACCAATCCTTTCCTTTCATGGAAATACTTACGATAATATTTTAAGCCCATGCAAAGGTCAAAATAATTCAGAATCGTTGGAATCATTTAAGCCATATATCTAATCATACCTGTTTATTATATAGAGACGTAGCTATACATGCATGTATCAGATGCAATATTATTTTTCAGGATATATGCATACAACTCAAATTCAGAATTATAATTTATATTAATTAATTTTTAATTCATAGAATCAACATTTATTGACCCCCGTTGATCACTCTATACGTTTTTTTTTTTTTTGCAATTCCTTTGAGATATATATTATTGTTTCGCTTACAATTTATATTCGGATGGTAACTTAGATAAATCATAAAAATCGGCAAACATTTGGAATAACAAATAAAAAAAACTAAATAAAATCTTCTCATATTCGTTGTTTTTAAATTGCCACGTGATTAATACGATGAGCATTCACCACAAAAAAAAAAGGGTCGGTACAAAAATTGCAGTGAAGTTCCAGTTTTGCCCTTTGCCTTACAGAACAGAGTCATGACGTCTCACCATTAAGCCTTAAACAAACTTTGACGATAATACACCAAACTCAGATTGCTTCTCAAGTAATCTTTCTTCGTCTTCTAGAGAAACTGATAATTTAAATCATGTAGAGGCTATTTGGTAATTTACTTCCTATTCTCCCCACCAGAAAATTTCATAATATATATATATATATATATATATGTGTGTGTGTGTGTGTGTGTGTGTGTGTATACATGTACATCAGTATATATGTGCATCATGGGCATATCCATGCCTCCAGACCCTAGTTATTTGTTGAAATTTGTTTATCCTAAAAAATAATACAACACATATATAGAAATGGGGAGTTGTTCTTTTCTGTTTATTTTTATATCAGTTTCTTTAAATGATCGAATTTCTTTTAATAATTAAAGCTAATATATGTAAAGACCTATACATGTGTGGCTTGATATACCACATGTTAGCGAGGATGACAAGATACAAAATTAAAATTCATATAACACAAATTTAAAAAGATAATATATTAATTAGCAGATAGCTATATGTTTGATGATGTTGTATCGAGAAGGGGTGAAGAAGCATAGAAAATCATGTATTATGTTACGGTTCATGGTGGAAGTAACTATATATTAATTAATATTTAATAGCGAATCCCTAAATAAAATCTTGCAAAAGCAACCTATATGCTATACAAATAAAGGAGCTCCACGTTATATAATACGGACCGAAAAGTAAAATATAAAAAAGAAGATAATTAAATAACATAGAAAAAGTTGGGTGCAATGTCATTAGTCACACACACTATAATGATGATTAGAAGCATAGAATTTTGGAGGTCGCAGCAAAATAATTCGTGTTTAGAATTTGCAAAAAGCCCTTCTAACTAAATCCAGTCTCCCACTTATTGTTAATTTTCTGAATTAAATTTTACGGATACGGGCATACATACATATATATATCCATTACGCATACGTACATGAATACGTATGTATCTGTTGTAACCATGAGATTATCAAGGAAGTGAAGTTATGAAGGGCCTTGAAATGCCTCGTACCTGTCCATTTGGTATTTCTAGTAGTTAACCGAAGACCTTTTTTAATCGTGTGAAATGTAAATTAAATAAGTATCTTCTTAAATACGCGATCTTTTAATAAATTAATAGAAATATCAAACAGATATTTGACTATGTTATCTTTAGGGTTTTGACCTCCATGCATGACGTCATAGTCATATTTTTTTCATTTCGCCCGCCACTAATTTTACAGTTTAATGGTTGTGCACATTGGTATTTGGTGGACGTTTCCATACGATAATATATATAAAAAATTCGGTAATATTTTCAAATCGAACCGTTCCAAAAATTTTGAATCGGTATTTTTTTTAGAGAATCGAATCGATCCAAATTATAAAAAAAATAAATCAATAAACTGATTTTTTTTTAAATATATTTTTCTCTTAATACAAAACGAACCAAATATGATATAATAACAGATTGATACGTATTTTTATAGAACCAAAATGTTCAACCCTAATTGTGCATATACATAGAACATGTAATAATTAAAAAAATAAATAAACGACGTAATGAACAATTATTGTCCCGAGCCTTACGTACTCTTACGATATTTTTACTCAGTAATTTTCACTCGAAAACAAGAGATGTAAACTGTGATTTCCTCAAAGCTTATACAAGCAGGACGATAGTCATTTCTTTTAGGAATTTCATTTCTTAAACGATTGAAAACTGAAGTTCATCATCTAAATTATTTTTGGAATAAAGCTATATATATTAAGAAGCATAAAGGATACATACATACATACATACATACATACATACATACATACATACATACATACATACATACATACATACATACATACATACATACATACATGATACATACAGTAACGCCACCGTACATATGCGCGTATGGTGAACCGTCTAAACAAATATATATATATATATATATATATATATATATATATGAAATACACTGAAGTCGAATCGAGGGCACCCAACGTAACCTTTTCTCGGATTGACCATGAACCCACATCGCCCAACGCCATAGTAGTAGTCTCCCTCTCATGATCTCTGCGAAATATATTTACATGTTAAACAGATTTTTTACCATTTTTTTACTATATTGTTCACTTAAATGTAAAAAAAACATTGCGAATAAAAAACATATAGAAACCGTAAGCTATAAAATCACACGTCAGTAAACAGATAAAAGTTTTCCATAATTAACCCTTCATATACGTTTGTTTAATGGTGACCACCTTTTCTATTACAAGGTTATCCATTGCTTCATAAAACTTCATCTTCTAGAGAAACTAAAATCCCCCCTTTTCCTTCACCTAAATTCATGAATCGTATAATATATATATAGAATCCAAATCTTCAAGAAATTCGCCTGGTATGGATATTAAATATTTTATTATTTGTAATATATATTTATGTAAAACATTAATGATAAAATCACAAGTATATATCTCAATACGGTTTTAATTTATTTTATTATCAATTTTATATACACATATCGTATTCATGCATACCTTATTGGTGCATATAATATATGTTAAATTTTCTAGGATTTGTTTGAAGAATGTGTTATTTTATATTAATCAATATATATAAAAAAAAGAATTAACAAGCGTCCTAAAAGGTTCACATAACATACAGTAATCAAGAAAGTAAATCACATGATTCATGTTACACCAAATAAACAAATAGAGGATAACAAAAAATGCATATTTGCATACAAAGGTTTGTGTGTTGTCCAGAAGGCTGGATACATCGAATTACAACGTAACGTGTAATAAATTTTCATGAAAAAATATGGTATATTGGTAATAAATAATTACGATGGTTAAAACATGTCTATTTTTTCCATATATTAAAATGTGTAAGGCTGTATAAATGTAACATATTTGTATGTTGATGTATGCATGTGGAGGCAGAGAGAGAGAGAGAGAGAGAGAGAGAGAGAGATGACGGGAGGGTTGTTAATTTGTTTAAAGGGTGCTTTTCTATAGAGATTTTAAGGTCGAAGGTCATAGTTACGATGTGGGCTTGCTTCCTAAAATCTAGTTGCCCACTGGGCCCCACTTTCGCTTCTTGATGGCTACGTGGAATGGCCCCCACCTTTTCTTTTTTCTTTTTTTCCAAAAAATATTTTTTTTGCCTGATTAGGAAATTTAAAATATAAAAAGAAACGGAAGAAAATCGGATTAGTCGGGATAAATCTCGACGTCCACTTGCGATTATCCCATTTAGAGACATTCATAATTTTCACTTAAAATACTTCAACCCTTATTTATTCGCACCCACCAAAAGTAATTAATGGATCTAAACAACATAATCCACATAACAAAGCGCACCCATACCTAAAATTTTGATTTAGTTTCACACAAATTTATTTGCATATAATGCGATTTTCAGTACACTAAATCTAATTACACGTTTTACCACCAAAATAACCTCCTTCAAATTTATTCTTCGATACCTTATAATCATTTATATTTCCAACTCATTAGTTTTGATGTGTATATATATATATATATACACGAGGTACCTCGATGAATTTATACATGCATCTGAATAGACAAGTGAAAGCCACTCTTAAAGTCTAAGCTCATGATTTGTGTGTGGCGGCAAAAAAAATAATAATAGAGAAATTAGAAATATCAGAAAGTAATGTTAGGAGGCACCAATTAGCAGAGAGAGAGAGAGAGAGAGAGAGAGAGAGAGAGAAAATAAGAAAATAAGAGAGGCAAGCAAAGGAGACACATGCGGTTTCCACATGCATATATGTTTTTGGTCCTATGCGTCTGAAAACACATATATATAAACTCACTCTCTGCTCTCATCTTCTTCGTACAACACAACTCTCAGTTTGGTAGTGTTATCATATATCCTTCTCTCTTCTTCTTCCTCTTCCTCTTTCATCTGTCTATAATCTCTCCTTGAAAATATTTTTGAGAAGGAAAAAAATGTCGGAAGCTATGAACATATCCGTGAACGGACAGTCTCAGGTGCCTCCTGGGTTCAGGTTTCATCCGACCGAAGAAGAGCTCTTGCAGTATTACCTCAGGAAGAAGGTTTCTAACATCAAGATCGATCTCGATGTTATTCGCGACGTCGATCTCAACAAGCTCGAGCCCTGGGATATTCAAGGTCCGTATACACTTTTTCCACTTTATTTTCTTTTGATAAATGTATTTGCACAAACCCATAAACCCAAACTTAGGGTTTGAATAGTTTTTTTTTTACCTCTGGGAAATGAACAAGAACCTAGCTAGACCACTAGATTTATAGTACAAAGCCTCGTTTAGATTCCGGTTTCTTTCATGGACCACTTTCTACTTTGCCTTAATTTCAGGGTTTGGAGATTTGATACGGTTTAAAAAAAAAAACAAAACTAACAATCAAACCCCTCATTTAATCATGATTTTACTTTTTATCTCGTGTTATCTTTTCTTGTTTTTAAGCGTTTCGATCAAGTATGATAGTACTATATATATATATATATATATATATATATATTCATTTTACCAAGTACTAGGCAATTGAATTATGCTCTCAAGAATAAATGACAAGAGGGAGAGAGAGAGGACAGAGAATAAAAACTTAGTTTTTATTATGAGATAGAGTGTGTTGATTATCCCTTTACCTGATTCACATAATTCTCTCTCCTCCTAATAATGAAAATAATTAATGAGGATTAAGGTCTTAAAAATGAAGTTAATCAACTGGGTTATTAATATAGTGTTTGTTAAACAGAGAGGTGTAAAATAGGGACTACGCCCCAGAACGACTGGTACTTTTTCAGCCACAAGGACAAGAAATATCCGACCGGGACGAGGACGAACCGAGCCACAGCCGCCGGCTTCTGGAAGGCAACCGGCCGCGACAAGATCATTCACAGCAACGGCCGGAGGATAGGGATGAGGAAGACTCTTGTTTTCTACAAAGGACGAGCCCCTCACGGCCAGAAATCCGATTGGATCATGCACGAGTACCGTCTCGACGATAATACTCCCACTTGTGACACCACCGTAAGTCATGCTTTCGTCATATATACATATGTATGTTTCTATTTATATTTAATTGGATTATTATCTACCGCGGTTCTAGCTACACAGTATATTTGACGTTATGCTTCATCGCACGAGACAGTGTTTTCGAAAAGACAGGGTTTTGGAATTTATATTGTATTTTTCAAAAGTGACCAGATTATTCGCTGATCCCGCATCTTGGATGATCTATTGACTTCGAGTGATTTCCATGGTGCTATTAATGATGACGTTGTACATGAAAGTGAGTCTTGTCCGTATGTCGTATCGGGTTCAGTGATATAATATATGTTCAAATAATTAATATCCATGACGGCTCTTTTTTTTTTTTAATACAACGAACCACATGCTTCATCTATATGTACATACGTATTTTGCGATTATACATTTATCTTAGCATGCGAATCAACTTAAAATAGATATCCTGATGATTATGGGCGATACGATGTTGTAAACCAGGTTGTGAATATAATAGGGGAAGCATCACAAGAAGAAGGGTGGGTGGTTTGTCGTATTTTCAAGAAGAAGAATCTTCACAAAACCCTTAACAGCCCGGTCGGATCTTCCCTCAGCGACGGAGACGCGGCGGCGAGGGCGACTTCGTCGTCGCAGATGTTCAACGAAGAGACTATCGAGCAATTTCTCGAAATCATGGGGCGATCTTGTAAAGAAGAGCTAAATATAGACCCTTTCATGAAACTCCCCAACCTCGAGAGCCCTCGCAACGCCACCACCAGTTACCAGCGCTCGATGGACGACCACGACGGACCAGTCAACAACTTCCACGTCAGCCCCGTTGACACCAGCTTCGTCACCAGCTGGGCGGCCTTGGACCGGCTCGTGGCCTCGCAGCTCAACGGGCCCTCCTCGTACTCGATCCCGACCGTCGACGAGAGCCCCTCCGAAACCTTACGACCTGCATTCCCCGGTCTGAACCGGTCCGGTTCGTACCAAACCGTTCTGACGCAGGATTTCGCACCGGAGATGGAGCTGTGGAACACGGCCTTCGGGAGAACGACGTCATCGCTGTCGTCATCGTCCGACCCATTGTGCCACGTGTCGAACGGTAGTGGATAACGGGAATGTTGGGGGAGAAAGAGAGAGAGAACACATGGTGTAGAAATATATAATCATACCATATAGTTGTTGAAACACGAAGAAGTCAGATTTGTGATAATTACAGTGGTTATCTTGAAATTATTATAAGGGATGATTAACTAATGAGGTGAATAAAGTTGCAGAGGATGGGATGGAGCCATTATAATGTTGTTAATCAATATGTCTTCCATTTCCCATTTCGCTTTCTAGAAAAAAGATTTGGCGTGTGAAAGAGTTAATATTTGTGATTTGTATTTCCTTTCTCTATATCCCTTTTTTCATCTAATTAGTATGATTGACGACAAAAAGGCGATGACATCTCCAATTACATAATATCATAGTCTGTCACATGGTTTGTCGGCCCTTTCCTTAGCCCTTCACCGATACGTGAGATATGGTCCATATCTGCATTGCTTAATTTCTCTTTGTGGGCATATATATATATATATACACACTCTTCTTTTGTACACACATGCGTACATGCCTTCTTCACGCCCGAGTTACAAGTCTCGTTGTACGTGAATGTATATATACATCGTACATGCACATATTACAGTGTCTAGATGAATATTGCACCATATTAACATTTTTTGTCACCCTTATAATAAAAATATTATTTAGACTGTTTATTCTAGTCTGCCCACCAACATAACTATATTATATATACTTGTTACATGTTTGTTGAGCCTGAAGAAAAAAAAACAAACTGTTTTCTTTATGGAACCGGTTTACTGTTTAATCTAGTTTCGGACTGTATAACAAAATTGACTTTATGTAAATATATATATATATATATCGGAGTTTGTAATTCGTCTAAGACCTGTTTATAGGAGCGAAGGCTATATCTTAGAGTATTTGGTATCGAGGCTGAAACGAGGGATCTTGAATGGAAGTTTCATGTATCCAACAACATTAATAAAAACAAAAACAACTCTGAAATTTATTTAAATAATTTGATGGGATCTACGAAGACAGACATTCCTATTCCCAAAGTTTGTCCATTTTAAGGTGAATAATAATATTATCCCTGAATGTCAATTGTTTATATTTTATGAGACAAGAAATAGAATTCATTGGAAAAGATAAAATATACTGGAAAAATGTTACAAATATTTCGAGGTTTTTAATTTATCCGTAATTTTAGGATACGAGAGGGGAATAAACCAAGTGAAAATCCGATTGAATATTTGAGAAATCTCTCATCAACTAACCAAAGATATTTATTCGATTGAATTTTCGAACAGTGGCCGCACGAACTATTCGTGTCGTGTCTGAATGTCAAGTTGAATTTTGCGGAGACAACGAGAATCAAAGCCAGGTGGGCTTTTCCATCAACTTTGGTGAATTAGTTTTGACTTTCCCTCACTTTTTTGGATGATTTTTTTTTAAAATTTTTTTTATTTATTTTGTCTATGTGAATTTTGATTATGTTTTTTTTTTACATGAAGATGGTCGTCCGTTTCTTCCAAGTACAGTCTTCCTACAGTCGTCCAGATTCTCCATAGCCGTCTTCTCAAATGTCCTTTTTTCCATGATTATCTGTTTTGTTTTTTTAATCATTATATATATACCCAACAATTTTTTTAAAAAAAATGCTAAACAATTTGGTTGGCGGTACATCCTACTAATTTTTCTTTTAAAAAAAACAAATCTCATAAAAATACATAAAATTTATAAAATGTTAGTTTAACGAATAAATATACCAACTATCGAAATCTGATTAAAAAAACTTTTCAAATCAAAAACAATTTTATATACGGTCTTTAATTACATATTTGATTATTTTATTCAAATGGTTTGAAATTGTTTTATAAATAAATTTTAAAGGATTTTAATAATATTTATTCGAAAAATAATTTCATATTCAAATCTTAACATCATCGTCGATGTGTAGTAAAATACTTTCCATTTTGGCATATTTCAATAAATAGTGTATTTATTTATCAAATTAAAAATTGATGCATTTTTTAATTTGATAAATAAACGGAATATTTTATGGAATTTTCCTTAAAAAAAGTCAAATCAATTTTTTTAATGAAGTCGAATCATTCCATCACAAATCTGTCTACATGGTCTAGAACATGTATTTTTTCCAAGATGGAGGTAACAATGACACCATATAACCAGTATAGTTGGTTAATAATTGTGATAAAATAAAATAATGTTATGGAATAATTAATAAATGGATCATAACGTAAACTTTTTTGTAATCCAAACGAACAAACGAACTTAACAGTTTGATTTGTGTATTCAGGTGGCATCTTATGCACATGCAAGATTGGCGTGGCATGGAAAGATATTCATGGAATTAAATTCTATATATTATTGCAATGAATAAATATAGAATCCTCTTGAATAATCATTGATATATATATATACATATATATATATATATATATATTTCAAACATACGATCGTATATCATATGCACATGCATATGGTTGATTCATCCTTCCAATGGTTACTATATTAAGTATAGAGAAAATGAGCATGAAATTCAATCTGGTAGTCGATTAGTCCACCCAGAAAAAATCTTCATTTAAAAATTTTCAACGTGGAAATAAAGATTGTAAGTCGATTATTCCGTATAATCAAAGTAATGAATTGAAATTCTCTATGAGAGCTTTTCTACTTTGCTATAGGTGCCATATTTCAAATTAACTTTAATTACCATAGATGCAACGGTGAAAATACACATTATATATATGAATATTCAGCGTTCCATATGAAAAAAAAAAAGCAAATGAAGGAAAAAGATATAAAGTTGTCTGTTGTTCGAAGATAAGATTAAAAAAACGTGGGTTATACATAAAATTTTAAAAAAAAACAATAAAAAATAAAACGCTGTATTTCCTTCTTACATGACACATGCGAAAACGTACAGACAATCGTACATACACTTTTTGTATTAACGTGAGTATATATGTACAATCACAAAGACAACATGCATGTTGCGCAGATCATTACGCGAACGACATCTTCTTTCGCTTCAACGGGAGACAAAGTTCCGAGGAGACCGGATTCTCCGACAAATTAACCGTTAGCTCTTCACCACATCTTTAATTTTTTTTTCCCGATCATTCCTCTTTTTTTTTGTGCTCTTCTTTTTTCTCTTTCTCTTTGACAACAATGTTGATTTGGGGCGGATTATCTCCAGGCAAAGATCTTTTAATTTTTTTTTTTGGTTTAAAAGACTTTATGTCAATAAGATGTTTCTTTCGCTGTCGCGTTTTGTCTGCATCCCTCACCCCTTTCCTTTATTCTTTTTTCGTAGCAGTTAATCATGTTTTATCACGAACAAATCCCACAAAAAGATGCAATGAAAACCCTCGAAATCATCATTAGAGAGAGATTACCGACTTAATTAGTCACCCCTTTGAAGTTGGATTCTCTTGCACCATATGTGTCTCTAATCAAACTCTCCCACCTATCAAAAACCCACTTTCATTTGCTATTACTTGTAAAATAAACAAAAGGGTATTCGCCCATTAAGTATTAATCGGCTATTTTGACAAAACCGAGGATATATACGTGGGGGGAATAACGAGAGATTAAGAAGATGATTAACGGTAGGTACGGTGGGGTAAAGCTCGTGCGGACGAGGTGTTACATCCATGTCGAAAATATGGAGCACCTACCATATAGCTTTTAACTCTCGTGGTGCAATTCAAAAGGTCATGTTAGCTTTTGGAAAAAATTTATATATATATATATATATAAAATTATTTCACAGTGAAAGCATTGGAATCTTCGGTATTTGATTTTTCATCATTTGATGTGATTCGGATTGGGTCGGCATCTGTTACGTTTTTGCTTTCACATTCCACTTTATACAATCCAATTCCAATATCATTTTTCATACGATCATATGTTACAAAAAAACAGACTAAACAACTTACGATTTTGTCAAGTTTAAACCGAATTCGGACAAATATCAACGCCTCGAAATGTATTTAATTACATCAAACTCTAAATATATATATATTCAAGTTTTTCTGACACCAATGCACACATGTTTTCGCTTATTTTCAAGCGGCTGGTTCACTGAGGTTTCCGAACAATTAAGTACAGCTATATCGGCAAGGGATTCATGCTTGTGACAAAGATAAATACATATGTATATATACATGTGTGTGTGTGTGTGTGTGAATGTATGAGAACATGTCGATGAATGTGTAATGGATGATTGAGATTGGGCAACCCATGCATGTTTATGATACAATGCAAATATGTCATGTTGAGCTCTTAACGTCGCGTCGACGTACATTGACATATGAAAAGTAGGGTTGATTAGGTCAATATTTTACAGCTAGAAGAATTCCGGTCCATATCCCTAATCGAATCCTATAAGGACGAACACCATTTTCCATGAAACACGATGCAATTTTTTTTTTCTTTTTTATGATTGAATGCCGAAAACCAATCAAAACACTTTTTCGGTACACAAATTTATATTCGCTTTTCTTCGTTTATTTTTTTTTGGACGATGTTCAATAGCCACACATACATATATATGTGTGTTGGCATGGCCACCGGGAACATGCGAGATGAGCTTTGATAGGGAACATGCCAATTGATTGCTAGCTGTGATTCTATTTGGCTCTAAAGAACAAAATTTAACTCGATTTTTTCGTCTCAATTTGATTGTTTTTGGAAGATCATGAAACCGACGTTAGAATCGATATCTTGTTTATTCAAATTAAAATTGTGATAATGACGGGGAAACCCGGGAGAGTTGACAAGGATTTCGCTCTTCATCTGAGAGGATGTATGTTCGACTTTTTACTCATTCACATGTCGTCCATCAATTACGGATGATTCACATCCACGTTGGCCGTCTCATAGGGTGTTTTATTTGGTTCATTGATATAGAGTTCCAAAATTAGAAGGGCCCCATATTTTTAATTTATTTTTATAATAAAAATGTTAAATTTTAATTAAATTATATATAACACATAAAAACATTATCAAAACTCTTCACAAATATAAATGATTTAAAATTAATTTATAGTAATAATAAAATAATTTTATACTATATTCGAATTGAAATTGTGATAATGATGTAATACAAGCTCTTATTCTCATCTCAATCAGATGGTTTCATACATCGTATAGTTTGACAATAACATCATATTTTTTTTACGGCAAAAGAAAAAATAATAATCATATTTTTTTGCTGCTGCGTTTTGCATTGCATTCATGCTGACGTGGAAATAACGTCACGGAGTCACGGACAGGCCGACTTAAGTCCTTTTATTGTATAGGCCGATAAAAAGAACATATCGTATAGGCCCATTTAAAGCCTTATCACATAGGCCCATATAAAGCCCATAAAATGTAGGCCTACTTAACCGTACATAAGATTAGTCCAGCCCATATATTGGGGCCCACGTATACGAGGTGGCTGCTCGATTGGTGTCGATGACCAAGTTTATTACCAACATTTTTTACTGAATGATACAAGTTGCTCCTTTATATATATATATATAAATCAAAGAAGCGTGATGGACTGTACATATTGATAATGTATGAACATGACGAATGCTATCATATTATTTTTTTTATGTTTGGTAAATTGGATTTGACTCACATTTTATCTGACCAATTTTGTTATTATTGTTATCATAAAACTTTTAATTTAAAAAAAAAAATAAAAATCCTTGAGGAGGTTTTCAAATCGCAGATTGTTTTTACAGCTAGATAAAATTTAAGTTTTTTTTTAAAAAAATAATAATGAATCTCTCAGCATAATGATGAATGCAAACGCCAAGCGTTACCAACCACCATCATGAAAACACATGATTTAAAGGCTGTTTTTTACTTATAATAATTGTGAGGATTTGAATAATTACATGATTTTGAATTTATACTTGCGAGTACTTGTAAGGATTTTATACTTGTGATCACCACGTTTGTTTTAAAATACATAAATCGAGGATGGTCCATGTTTATCTTAATTACAACTTGGCGTTGCTTACAATATATGAATCATTGCCAAATGTATAAAATCCTATCCAGTTGTTATAAATGGTTTAAATCAAAGACCACCAAATTTGAAATCAAGGGTCCGCCAAAAATCTTAAAATATAGTCTTCCGTGCCAATTTATAACAATTTCAGCATTCTTTTCCCTCAGTTTCTTGATTTCGTGTCATAAGATGGTTGTCCACGGAAATATTGGCCGCCTTGAATACCTTATCTCGGTCATTAATAATTATATTATATAACAACTACAGCATAACGTGATTTCGTAATTAGTATAATCTCGTGTTTGGTCATTAATAATCATATTAATATAACGTGATTTCGTAATTAGTATAATCTCTTTTATTTTCAAAGGTTTTGAATTTCATTACCAAAACTTTACAGTAGTAATTAGTATAATTAATCTCGTATAAAAAAATATAATCTTTGCCCCATTAGACGACTCACCCACGATTTGTAATAAGAATCAATGGCTTTAAATGTGTTCTACTTTTTGATTTATTACAGTTTTGCACGAAGTGACTTGAACATTTTAACTGGTTGATACACATTATTTGACTCTTCCTCCTAGTCAAATTATTTTCCACCCTTTTATTATTCTAATGCAAAATATATCTCACTTAATAAGAACGTGTCATATTTTTTTTACGGTGTCTTTCTAAATTTTAATTTAAATATGAGATACAACCCGAATATTAATTTGTCGATCATTCTTGTTGTTATATAAATATTCACGTATTCGTGCACATCGTGGTGTACCTTGATTTATATGAAATTCATATATATATATAACAATAACGTATTGCTTGTATAAATTAATACATAAAAGGAACTATTGGACAATTCGTCATTTTTCTTCTACTTAGTATAATGGGGGGGGAAAACGCTTTACTTGTTAAACTTAATCCTATGTTTCGATCAAAACAAAGATTTAAAAGGATAAAAGTGAAAAATCATATCGACTTTTGTCAATATTAAAACATTATTACAGATGTTAAGACAAATGTCGATGTTACAACAAGTTATATGTGTGAGGTTATAATGGAATTGTGGATACTTATACATGTACGGAAGAAGAGATGAGACCGCATGCAATGTACGTTACACTATTAGCTTTTAGACTTATATATATATATATATATATATATATATATAATATTTCTTTGGATAGGACATTCTATACATTTCTATCGAACTCTATGTGTGTGTGTATACATTAAATTGGATGTTTTGATGAATGTTACGTACATTTGTTATCAATAACAAGTTATCAGATATAAATTAAGTTCTAATTTATTCTTACTTCACATGGATCACTTAATTACCCGAATGCAAACTAAATAACAATAACTAGATAACCGTTGGATATGTCATTGCCGTATAATAACGTTGTATAAAAATCAAAGTTGTGTACAAAATTCCAATAAATGACAGTAATGGGTCGACTATTTAAATACAGTGGAAAAATTGATAACCACAACGCATACCGGCAGTCCAACGATTAGTTTCAGCACATATATGAATCAAAATGGGACAAAAGTTAATGGAAGCAATAATAATAATAAAGAAAAACAACATGATTTAATCTTATCTTTGAAGCATCTCATCTCAGCCTTTGACACAGTTTTATATCACAAATCCGTCCTTTTACGCGACCACAAAACTCTATATATACACATATATACCTAATTACCAAACTATAGAGGAAACCTTTTATTTATAATTCATTCAATAAAATTAATTCAACCATGGCAGTTGTATCTCCTTCGTGTCATTGCCGAAGCGGTGCCTTTTGGCACAACCTCTTCAGGTTACAATGCATTCTCTCGCTCTTGCTCGTCGCCGTTTCAACTCCTCCGGAGGATCCCGTCAAGTGTGCCTCCGGGAACACCAACTGTACGGTCACGAACTCGTACGGAGCATTCCCCGACCGGTCCACCTGTCGGGCAGCCAACGTGGCATACCCGACAAACGAAGCTGAACTCGTATCCATCGTAGCCGCCGCCACGAGGGCACAACGAAAGATGCGTGTGGTCACGCGCTTCGGACACAGCATCCCGAAACTAGCGTGTACGGACGGCAAAGACGGTCTCCTCATAAGCACCAAGTTCTTGAACCGGACGTTGAAAGCTGACCCGGCGGCCTTAACGCTGACGGTGGAGAGCGGCGTTTCGCTGCGGCAGCTCATAGGCGAGGCTGCCAAGGCGGGGATGGCTTTGCCGTACGCACCGTACTGGTGGGGGCTAACGGTCGGCGGTTTGATGGGGACGGGGGCTCATGGCAGCTCGTTGTGGGGCAAAGGAAGCGCGATTCATGATTACGTGACGGAGATTCAGATGGTGAGCCCTGGCTCTGCCGACGAAGGGTTTGTTAGGGTTAGGGTTCTCAATGAGAGTACCCTCAACGAGTTTAACGCGGCTAAGGTTTCTCTCGGTGTTCTTGGTGTTATCTCTCAGGTAACGTTGGGTTCTATCTATGGTATTCTTCTAAACAACATCGATCTTTTGAAATAATGTATATATAAGGGACGTGATATAGCATCAGATTCATTGTTTTGACATATATATGTGTGTATATGTATGTATGTATATGTGGGTCGAAATTGAATCCAATAGAAATCTCCTTTTTTGAGAAAATATTACCTGTTTGGAAGTTACGTAGGATGATGAACGGACAACGAAAGAGACTGAAGTAATATTGAAGTTTTTTCTCTTCTTTTTGGCTTCATTTATATATATACCACTACACATAGTTGAAAACTAGCATGAATTATTATACTCTCTTGTAATTTTATATCAAGTACTGCATGTCACATAGTGAATTAACTTGTATTAATATGTATATATTATATATTTTGACAGGTCACTTTTAAATTGCAACCGATGTTCAAAAGATCGTTAACGTACGTAATGAAGAACGATTCAGATTTCGGCGACCAGGCCATGACTTTTGGTAAGAAACACGAATTTGCGGATCTATTGTGGTATCCGACCCAAGGGAAAGTTGTCTATCGAATCGACGACCGAGTTCCCTCGAATACGTCCGGCAACGGTCTGTACGATTTCTTGCCGTTCCGTTCGCAGCTTTCGGCGGCCTTAGCCATAATCAGATCCACAGGTACTTATAATGATTCGATCACTTGTTTTTATCTTCGTCTTGCAACGTTCATGGAATCGTTTCTTCATTTAATAACGTTTTGTACGTTGGTGATATTGTTTAGAGGAAACCCAAGAGGCTTTGAGAGATGCGAACGGGAAATGCATCGGTGCCAAGTTGATCACGTCTACCTTATTTGCTTCCGCCTATGGTTTAACGAGCAACGGTAATTATTTACACAACAACGTATGACTTATTCTACCTATATATATATATGGAGGGACCCAAAAATACTATAATTTGGAGGCAATAGGGTTTTTACTATACTTTCTTTAGGATAAACTTTTAATTTTATTATGAGGGCGGTTAGCAATTTTATTTAAAATTTTATAAAATTTATAAAGAAATTTAAAAAATTTAATTAAAGGAACTATGGCACAAAACCCATTATAAATGAATGAGGCCACATGTCTCCATTTTAATTAAAAAATTTATTTCTTTATTAATTTTATAAAATTTTAAATAAAATTGTTAAATGCTCCCTTATAAAATTAAGTTTGCCTCGAATTATATATATTTTGAGTCCGCAACTATTATATATTGTTTAAAAAAAAATATCAACAGATTAAACCAAACCCTAGAATAGAATATAACTCTTGTGCACTTGTCATGATGATTAGCCTCGGTTTAAGTTACCAAACTTCACAAAAAAATATATAATGCATTAGTTATCATTGTGTTTTAAAGTATACATCATTCGAAATTATAAAACCGCAGGAGTCATATTCACGGGGTATCCCGTGGTCGGAAACCAAAGCCGAATGATGTCGTCGGGAACGTGTCTGGACAGCCTTCAGGACGGAATGATCACGGCTTGCGCGTGGGACTCACGCATAAAAGGCGAGTTCTTTCACCAGACAACCTTCAGCATTCCCCTAACGCGCGTCAAAGACTTCATCAACGACGTCAAAGCCCTCCTCAAGATCGAACCCAAATCTTTATGCGGCCTCGAACTCTACTACGGTTTCCTCATGCGCTACGTCACCGCCTCGCCGGCCTATTTGGGCAAAGAGGTCGAAGCCCTGGACTTCGACCTGACTTATTACAGGAGCAAAGACCCTCTAACGCCTCGTCTCTTCGAAGATTACATCGAAGAGATCGAACAGATGGCGTTGTTCAAGTACAATGCCTTGCCGCATTGGGGGAAGAACAGGAACGTTGCGTTCGATGGGGTGATCAAGAAGTATAAGAACGCACCCGATTTCTTGAGGGTTAAGGAGAAATACGATCCCTCGGGGCTATTCTCGAGCGAGTGGACGAATCAAATACTTGGTTTGAAGGGTAATGTAACGATTGTGAAAGAAAGCTGTGCCTTGGAGGGTTTGTGCATTTGCTCGGAGGATATCCACTGTGCTCCAAAAAAAGGATATTTCTGTCAATCCGGAAAAGTTTACAAGGAGGCTAGGGTTTGTGCTCGTGCGAGCGATACAAGAAGGGTCGAGTTATGATTCTAAACCGTTCTTCATAAATATGATTTTGTCGGGAAAATAATAAGCCAAAGTTCGTTCTTGTCGGGTGGATATTTAAGTCATTGGATATGTTGTAATAAATGTCTTGTTACATGTAAAATTAAAACATCATAAACTCCGTGTTGAAAACTTCTTCTAGTAAATTTTTTAAGAAGAAATACGTATCATGATTGACCACGTCAGGAGAAATTTTTTTAAAATAATGGCTAAGTCTATTTCGAGAAAATAATATTTTAGGGAAGGGTGGCTTAAGTGATAGACGATAAATGCAAATTTCGAAAAAGTAATTATGGTTGTCTTGTCATTATCAAAGAAAAGTCAATATATGTTGGGTTCTTATATAATATTATTTTTTTAAACATGAATAAGAAATTTCCATTTGTAAGGAAGCCCAAATTTCATGTTTACCAAAGTTTCATACCAAATATATGTTTCCTCGAATTCCAACGGTTGACGATGGAACGCTGACGTGGTGACAGCATAGACTCAGAGAAATTTGGTAAATATGGGCGTGAAATTAAGCATCAGAAAATTACAGCCGGATTCGGAAATATTGAAAAGTTAGGGGGCAAAATGTCAAAGGGCCGATTCTTGTAGCTCTCCGAGAAGCTTCTCGAGTTCCTCCAATTTGGGCCCCCATTCGCCCTTTATCTGTAACGGCCTCACGTTACTGTAATCCACACCGTCGTCTCCGGTGGACACTCCCGCAGAGGATGATAACTCTCCACCTGTCTTCTTCTTCCTTTTCTCGGCGCTCGATTTCTTCCTCTGAGCCGCCGCTCTCTCCATCGCCCAGAGCACGTCGGATCCGCTCATCTCTTTCTCTTCTTCTTCTTCTTCTTCTTCTTCTTCCTTCTGCTTCTCCTCCGGGATGTTCTGCTTACGGTTCGAATCTGCGGCGGCGATGATCTTTTGGCCTAATCCACCGACGGTTTCCGCCGCGGAGGTTTCAGGTTTCGGCGGAGCATGTTGGCGTCGATGGTAGCTCCGGCGGTGAATACGCGGCGGATGCTGTGTCTTGCTGGCGAATACAGCGCCCGGCCGTCGCCGGAGGAATAGGATCGGTACTGTTACCGGATTCACAGTCCACATCGTCGTCGTCCGATTCTCTGTCTTCCTTTTTCTGGCGATAAATGAAAATTCTCGCAAGCAAAATTATTTTTTAAAAACAATATTACTCTTCAATTTTTTCCAATTTAATATAATATTAGAAATTGAACTACTGCTCCCAACATATTATACTCTTAATATTTATTAAATGATTAAGAAAACAATTGGATTTTATCGTTTGATGGAAAGTCAACTTTTCCCGATCGTAGGGCTAATAATAAGATGGCCATAATTGGGCATTAGACCTACATAATAAGGCCCATTAGCACAATTAGGCCCATATCATTCTCGATGACTGGGCCTGAGCTTTGAAAATGCTCTCCCTCGTATCACAGACGGCCCAAATAATCTCGCTCATTAATTAAGACAAGGCCCATTTTCTATCTTTTGGAAAATCAATCTTAATTTCGCCGTTGTGTTTGAATTTGGAACACTCAACTCAACTTGAAAAAAAAAAAACAGCAATGCGTTGTTTCTAACACCTATAATCTATCACACCGTTCATACAACAATCTTTACACTCAAAAAAAAAAAGACAGGGAAGAAACTTCTTATGAACCCTACATCTATGGCGATCTTCTTCTTCTTCCTCCTCCTCCTCCATCCCGAGTATTTACGGTGGCTTTTTTCAGCGGCTTGCTTATCTGAAACACAGGATGTCTACACAGTCTCTCAACACCTTCCCTCATCAAACGTAACCCCGCAGAAGAATCGTCATCCGACGTTCTTGAATCGAAATCTTTTTCCTTTTCGAGATTCCACATCTCTTCCTCGTTGTCTGCCTCTAGCCTGCAGAGTGTCGCCACCCTCAAGAACCTCGGATTACCCGTCTTCTCGTGGCCTGATCTTGATCTTTCTCTGTTTTGGCTACACGGGCTTTGTTTTGTTTCCTCTGATGGCTTCTCGAGCGATCTCGCCTTTGCCTCGGCCTGCTCCCTTTCCCGGAGGATCTTCTGTATCAGAGTCTTGAGAAAGTTCATCACTTGCACCGCGTGGATCAGTGCAGTCAGTGGGTCCGCCATCTGCAACGTGTTTAAACATCATCAATGTCATCACTTTCGTTATCTCTTTTCCGAGTTTAGCACAATGTTGGAACTCATTTTCGTCGAAGATGAATGACCTGGGTCATGTTGGGAGCGAAGACCATGGCCACATTACGGGCATTCATCTTGTTGAGCTGCTCGTGCTCGACCACGTCAGCCATTAGATTGATGGCCCAATCGAGAAGAGCAGACTCCACCGGAGGAAGCAACGTGACCAGCCGAGTGCAGTCTTCCTCGGTGTTGCACCTCATCACTTGCTCTGGCGTCAACAGATCCAACACTCCAGTCGGAAGCTCCCTGAACCATGCCTGTCATATTACCATCATCCACCATTTTCAGATCTTTTTGCCCTAACACGACAATTCAAGAAATCTTTCAGAGTCTGGAATCTGCTCTGCCCATACCTTTATCAGACCGGCCAGGCAATGGACGTCAATGCCACGAGGCACCACGCCACGGTTGAGCTGGCTCCGGACGTGCTCTTCCTGGCCGTTATCCGGGTTTATTCGGAAAATCCCTTCAGCCTTTTGGCAACAAATGATCAAGGAGAGCAAAGTCAGAATCTTTTGCTGGTCCATAAGCACAGAGAGTGGAATTTTCATTCAACAAGCAAGTTAAGTTTGCGTAATGATGATAAGAAAGAAACGAACTTTAAGGCCTCCTTCTGCATACAGACGTTTCTGCATCCTGAGAAGGATCGTGGGGACACTGTTCCCTCTGCTGTCGTAAGAACACTGCATCGACTTGGCCGAAACTCCGAACACGCTCACACTGCCACGAAATTGTTGCTAATTTAGAACACCGGAAAGGATCAATCTACCGAAATCCAGATGTTCGATCGCCCAAAAGCTTCAATCTTTCCCCAAGATTCTGAGAAATTCTGGTGAATCCGACGCTAAAACACCAACCCTTTTAAGATTTTCAATCGTTCTTTGACTTGAATCTTTGGGGGTTAAATCAGACAAAACAAAAAGAGAGTTGATTGGTGGGGACAAACGCATTAATCTAACAAAAACAACAACAACCATCTTTATGATTTTATCCAAACAGTAACCAGTGTTCATTTCGATCCGTCATGATTGAAGAAATCATCGAACTTTGAACTTCTCTAATTGCACCTCAAGTGTGTCGATTTGTTAATTTGTGTTAGGCTAAACATGCATAATCAAGGATTAGTGATATTAATTGACGGACCTGGCACTGGGGGCACGAGGGGGGACCTCAGGCTCGAGCTCGGAAGGAAGGCCGAGAAAGCCATTGAAGCGGTCGAAGGTCACGTGAGACACGTGCTTCACCTCGGTCGGCCACCCGATCTCCATCGCCGCAACGTCACCTCTCTCCACGCTGCAAGTCACCAGCAGCGACTTCCGCAGAACCGCCGTCACAATGTCCAGAACCGTGAGCTGGCCCTGACCCTGACCTGACCCGTCGTTCCTCGTCGGCGTCGAAACCTGGTTCTGCGACGACTCGTCGCCGTCGTCCGTGCTGCAGCTTCCCCTCTCGTCTTCTTCCTCGTCATCTCCGCTGACCTCGCCGTAGTCCGGTCCGAGTCGCGTCGGGTTTGACTCGGGTAACCCGACGGCTCCGGCTGATTTGGATCGGGAGAAACCGGTCATGATTTTCGTTTACCGGCTCAGACAACGGAGCAATGAATGCGAGAGGAATACAGGAATATAATAATGGCGGAGTTAAGTTGAAGCAGAGGAAGGTATAAAAGGCGATGAGAGAGAGAGACAGAGAAACTGTTTGGTGGGAAGGAAAACAGAAGAAAACGAAGGAAAATTTTCTGGGAAACGAGTAGAAATCAAGCAACAACTCCTTCCTTCTTTTACTTTGGGATTTGGGTTTTCAAAAGTGGATATGAACAAAAACTAAGAAATATCATTTTTTTTTTGTAATGGTAAAAGAAACAAAAAAAATTAAATGTTGTATGATAATAATTTAATGGTCCGACGGCTCGTGACGATGGGGAGATGTCGACAAGTAGGATACATGCGATTCAGAGTTCTTTGGAAGTTCATGCCCACATTATTACCCTCATAATTCCCATTCTTGGAATTCACAAAATTAATTCAATTTTTAAGATACCAAATTATTACATTTACATATATGTGATGGGAAGAATTACACATTAAGCAACATATGGATTTAGAAATCGAAATCAACCAACCAATATAATGTATAGTTTCTTTCATGAGCTTGTTAAATTGATGTTATTATGCTGCAACGTCGTTTTTAATAACTCGACCGCATAAATTAAGATTTGGATGCATTTAAGTGTTTTGGTGTATGCATATGTGTATGTAAAGATATAGTGTTATTTTGTATGCCCACATGCTCACATGTGCATTGCTTCTATCTTGTTGTCAATCTCCATACCAAGTTTTGACACGTACATGGACTAATATATATCTGTATACATATGTTCTTTAGACGGAATAAAATATATTACATCTTATCAAAAAAATAATTATATTATATTAGTTGCTGCTACATACTAGTTTGATTAGGATCTGGTGAGCCGTATATTTAATGGTCATATACATAATTAATAGACGCTCAGAATAAAAAAAATATTAAATATGTTATTTTGGTGGCATCTTAATTTTATTTTGAGGCATTGCTTGAATCGTGCTAGTATTAAAAAAGATTCCACAAATAATAACCCGGTTTAGAAAATATATACACAGAAATTTTATCAGCGTAGACAATTTTTTTTGTTGGAGTTATAAAATAAAATATTATCAAAATATGTAATTTATAACAAAAATTATTACTAAAAAATTATTCTTTAATAATATTAACATCCGTGAAGTCTCCATCGGATGCCATCATTGTCCTCATCTTTTCATAATTAGGCCACATATCATATTATTGATTAAACATTAATTAAGATACTTTTATATATTAGATATGTGAAGATTTAAAACTTGAAAATACAATTTGGAGATCATGAATAAATGCAACATTTGTATATAAATTTTCTTGTAAGAGAGCATATGGTCCTGTTATAATGGACATGGCAATGTGCATCAATGCAACCCGTAGGTGTCAAACATTCAACAAACAAAAGCCGGTCGATGTTGATCTAACGGTCGCATTTAATGCGTAGAATATGGTCCCAATTTCTATCCATTCGGTTCACGTGATATCTACTCTAATGGTTTATTTCGTTGGCCATATATATATATATATACATACACGATCTTGAATTTACGGTCCAAAATTATATTTTAACCGAAACATTCAATTTACACATAAGGTTGAGCCTCCCTAGCTTAGTTATATGATGAAGTGAGTCGTATGTATTCACAACATCGACACAAACTAATTATATTATATAAAAAAAATGCTATTTAGTGTAAGATTCAAAATAGGATTTGAAAGAAATTTTCTTTTCTTTTTTAATTTAAATGTTGAAGAACATATATTTTGTACATTCTTTAAAAAGATAAACCGAACAAAAAAAATAAACCGCTTTATGAATTGGGGGGTCTATATGATTATTGCTCATAATCAATCTTTGGGTTTTAAATCGTGTGTAGCTTATCTTAATAGAAATAAACCTTTTATTGCATAGATTGCAAGGCGATATTTGTATACTCGAAGGCCAACATGATTGACATTTAGTTACGGTCTTAATGGAATCATGTTTGCCACTAAATCGCCTTTTAACATCCATTATTAGCACTGACCATGTTTTTATCCTATATATATATATATATATATATACATGTGTGTGTGTGTGAAGCATGCATGGCAATCGGTTGATCTAATCATTAAACATTTTAAAAACGAGACCAACAAGTGTTTGTCCCACGTCTTTTGTAAAGATTATGCGATTAATAAACTACACACAGACAAAATAGTTTTACAGCCTCGTAACTCGCAAGTGTTTACCTTATCGTAAAAGTTTATAACCAATCGGTAATATTTTTTTTTATTGTATACGAACCAAATGACGTCACATTATTATTAAACAGAAAAAAAAAATTAACGATAACCATTTTTTTCTGTTTGGTGCGCGAAAACAATATTACATGTACGTATATTTGACTTCGTCTCTGTCCTCAATCTGTAACGATGATACCAACATCCCAACGACTCCAAAAACGGCAGTCCAAATTAATGTTCATTCCTTCTTCGCGTGCTTCTCGTAGAAGCAACATCAAAATGTTATATTAACTAAAATATTGGGAGACGCTATGTACATGTGTATATATATATATATATATATATATATATATATAAAATAAATGCATTAATTATATGGATTAAACACATTTGGGTGGGAATTTATTTATTAGCTTAAAAGCTACGTACTCAATTTGTGGTGAGAAGGGGGATTAAGTGTCACGAACTCTTAACCGAACCATCCACCCGGCCACAAGAGAGACACAAGCGACCGTTTCACGTTTGAGCTTCGTTTTAATTAAAAAGAAAAAAAGAAAGAAAAGAAATCCTTTAAGCTTCATACCACTAATTATACCAATTAGAATATCCCTATGTTTGAGTATTTATACCATTAATTAGTACTTAAAATAGTATATTTGTGTGAAACATATATAGATGGCGGGGAAATAATCCTCGATGTTACATTTGTTTTAAAAAAAAAAAAAAATTAAATGGTCACTAAAGACTTTGTAGTATTTAATTTATCGTTTTGAATTAAATAGAAGGGATATTTTGGTTTGATATTGGGTATGGGCTGGGCTGAACTGTAATGGGCCTCTAATGGGCTTTCTTACATAGGTATGGGCCCTTTGGAGGCCTCCGAAAAATGGTACACGAGAACCGACCAAAAATGAGTTCGCAGAAAGGAAGGAAGAAAATTAGGCATCGGATGCTTTTAATTAATAATCATTTTCGAAACGCATCGATATTTGTTTTAATTATATTTCTAATGATAATAGAAAGATGTATTGTTTTAGAATACTTCGTTCTTCGTGTATTTTATAATACAGTTTAGGGTTTTGAAAATATTTGCCTTGTTATTAACAATCGTTTACATGTGTTTATATACAAGCTTGAGATTAAAGAGATAAGGAAAGAATATAATTTGAACAGATTTGGAAAAGATTTCCCGTGATCTTAGTCTATCACTATCATTTTATACAAATAATCGTATAAATTTCAATATAAATACATCAAGTATCCCTTGTTTGGTATCGGTTTGCAATAAGACTGGTGCGAAGTTGGTGGGCTAACTCCAATTCGCTATAGAATTTAAAAGATTTTACTTGGTTTTTAAAAGATGTTATTCTGTGTTATTTATTTTGTTATTATTGATTTTGTATTTGTTATATTGTTATTGGTTTTGTTAGAGAAAATAGTTTGACAAAGAAATAATTTTTTTTAAAACTCGGGCAATATGATAATGCATGTCTTAATGCGAAAATGAAATGACAAATACCAAACAAAAAAGATTGCCGTTCCAAATTAATGGAGACGCGTCATGCCGACAAATCCATCCTCTCCACTCAGAAGCCTTAAGGATGTCTGATTCCGTACCTCCCGCTTCCTACGGATATTACATTTCAAAAGTTGTGTAGAATTATGTATCATGTTATTATTTAATTAGAATATGTAAATTTATCCAATATCTCGGTATTTATTTATTTTTCTTGTAGTTAAATCGGTGATTTTCCTATGGCAAACAATCTACCCCACTAATTTTCATTTGTGGTTCAAATTTATTTACTCAAGATATGTAAGATTCATTCTGAAATACAATGTAATTTTTTATTTTAAAATTAATATAATGCATACATTGAATAATAAAATTGTAGAAAATATAAGCATGTTATCGGCAATGGTTGGAGGTAAACGAATCTTTGTAAATGCCCATGGATGCAAAGACTCTGAGGGAAACAGAGGCATCCACTTGCGGAATCCCCAGTTTTCTTCGCCACTGCCTACAAGTATAACCCAACCCAATTCAATGCGAGCCGTTTTCTGCTTTGTCATTTAATTTGACCTGTTCGATTTAAATACATTGGATACATTTTACAAAAAAAATAAATAATTGTTACACGTCGGAAATATTTATTACTACAATTCTCTTGGCTGCATGATTCTCCATTATCTTCTAGGGCATAGGAAAATTGATTGTAATAAAAGAGACCGACCGTTACAAGGGGAAATTAAGAAAAGGAGATATATATTGAAATCGGAATGTTCATCTTTTCAAAGGCTCTATCAAATGAGGATATAGAAACAACATTTATTTATTAGAAGATATATTTTTCCTCATTTCATGCACATACAGACGAAATCATTCATACGTACGCTAACAAAATAACAAATGCAATTTGCTAAAACCTGCACCAATTATTATTAATTTTTTTTCGTTTTGCACGTCATGGCTCTGATCATCTCCATCGTGACCGTCGACCAAAATCGGCGGAGGAATCAATGGAAAAACAAGATGGACCGATATCCGATGAAACCATGAAAAATATTCACTCTTTTTTTCATTTATTTTTCAAGTTCCATGTACCAAAGTAAACGGAAAATACAGTAACTTACAAAGAGAAAACATAGCACGAGCTATCTACTCCTAATTTTGTGGGTTAGGCCCTGTTTGGCTCCACAACTCCACAATAACAACACAAACAAGAAAGGAACAAAGAAGAACAGAGAGAGAGAGAGAGAGAGAGAGAGAGAGAGAGAGAGAGTATCTCTCTCCTCCCCTTTGCTTTTGTTTACATTCATCGTCATGCACGGATCAAACCCTAAAACATCCAACGAGGTGATACTGGTGGTGGTGGTGGTGGTAGTGGTGGTGATGATGATAAGAAACAGATCTCTCTCGATCGATCATGGATTGAACGTATCGAAACTCCTCGACGTGACAAGGGATTGTGATCGTACCCTTCTGTTCGAAGCCGTACTCTTCCTCGGCTTCTTTGAGGAGCTGCATGAACAAAGGATGGTTGAAGTACACGACAGGAACTATAATCCTTTGCTGTTCCTCCCCTTGTCCCACTTTTATCGCCAAACACCCCTTCGGCACATCTTTGATCGCCTGTTTGCTGCTGCTCTTCAGATGAGGGAGATGTAAATTGAAGCTTTTTAGGGTTTTTTCTCCAGCACCCATTAGTTTTTTTTTTCAATTCCAACAACGTCAGAGAAAGCGAAGAATTAAGCGGAAGAGGAAAGATGACCTAGGGGGGAAAAAAGGAACTTGATTTTCCCGAGAAAATTTTGTTAGAAAGCAGAGAAGAAAGGCCAGGGCTCTTCTAGTGCAAATCATGAGAAACCAAGAGGCTTAATCAATTTGTTCATTTTTTTTCTTTTTTAAAATTGTGGAGATAACAACAAATGGATTTAAAGTTTGTCTCACGCAAACCGCGGAGGGAAAATAACAAAACATAAAGAAAGAGACAGTTTATAAAGACAGTTTCAGAAAAACACATATCGAAGACGCAGCTCCCTTCCTAATTCCACACAAATTAGAGCAGTTCTTGTTTTTTTTTTTTTTATAAATAAAACAGTTTGCAGTTATTTTGTTTTATAAATATCTCCTAATGTATAATACTCTACAGATTTTGTTTTTCTTGTTTTTAATTGTTAATTTAATGCTTGATACTCCTTGAGAACTTTTTTTTTATTATTATGGAAATACAGCTAAGCATACCTTTTTTATCCAAGAATATTTGCAAACTCACAAGTGACATATAAAAAAAATGCTTATAATAAATAATACTCTCTCCTTTTCCACAATAGTACTTTTTTGTTACTAATTAGATGTCGTTTTAGATTTTTTAGGTGATTTTATAAAAAAAAATTTACTCCAATAAAAAAATTTACTTCAATAAAAAAAATTAATGAGAATGTAATTTAATAGGGGCATATATATGGTTTTTTTTAATATATTTTCTTACTAATGGTGAAAAAATCTTAAAGGATGTCTTTTTAGAAACGGAGGGGTTGTGAATTTTTACTAAATTGTTTAATAGACAGTTCTACAATGGAATCGAAAAAAAAAACACTAGAAAAAAGACATGAATTATTTACAAATCATTCTGAAACCGAGCCTATCACGACAAAAAAAAATGTAACTTTTTTTTATTCTTCATTTTAATAATTTTGGAAACGATAATTTTCGAAAGTTTCATGAAAAATTACGTGACGAAATTTCGATGCTTACAAATTATATACTAATACCATAATACGTGCATTGAGTAATTAATATAAATGGTATAATTTATTGTGAGCACGTCATTCGCAGATAAGATAATACCGTCACCCCTTAGTTTGACTTGTTGTGACACAATGAGGCGAGTCATCATGGGCTTTCATATTGGGTTGGTGACTCAATAAAGAAATAAAAATAAATATTGATTATCATCGTAATAATTTTTTAAAATCTGTTAAAAAATTCGGTATGTGGAAATATATTGTTAAATTCCAATAAGGTAGCGAAGAAAGCAAATATACGGAATACTTGTGTAAATGTAATGTATAATTGTTAATATCAAAGTTAAATAAATATATCATAATCCAAAGTCGGGACAATTCGATGAACACGGACCAACAGGTTTAGAACATGCCCACGTATTACACATTTAATATGTCCAACACTCGTACTCCTTTGTCCCTGTCAGGCGCGAGCCGTTGAACTAGTATGTAGTATTTTATTTGGTTATATATATATATATATATTTCAAAAATCGAGTTTAACAAAGTTGACCAACAATTTGTGCAAAAATAAATAAATAGATTTTTATGTTTTTTTATGGCCAATATGGCTATGGAATCGAATTTAGATTATCCTAATATTGAATCGGTAATCATTACAAAATGCTTCCGAGCAATTTCATTTTCCGAGCAACCCATTTACCCAAACGAACAAAAAAATCTGATAAATTTCAATTTGCCAATTTATTTTATCTCAAACGGTAAAATCCATAATGTTTCAATAATTTAACTCGCGCCCGATGTCAATGTTCTAGTATTACCTAAATAAATTCAATAATTTGGTAATATTGATGGCTTTAAACCTCGCTATATTTTTTTTTTCTGTGGTGGTCGTAGACGGTGGGATGAGATTCTCGGGTCCAAATTATGACACCACACATTGGGACTAACAATGGAACTTGATTCGACTGAGTTCAATAAGTGTGAAAATGCCATAAATGATACAATTTCTTTCAGTAAATGCCATTATATATTTACATATCCATTCGTGAAATTGATTAGAATCCTACATGCATGATTTCCGTACATGTTCAAGCAATTCTTTTTTGCGTAAATTTTATTTGATCCTTTTTTTTCACGTCTTAAATCGACTAATAGACAATGTAACGTAGACCACACTTAGACCAAATGATAACAAAAATCGCTTTGTGAATTATTGAGAAAACGATTTACGAAAAGGGCAACTCAGTGGGCGGTGGTGGGACGACGACACATTGGATATTTATCATTTCCCCTGTTTTTTATTTTATTTTATTTTATTATATTATTTTTTCTTAGAAAATGACTCTTCAATTCGCGCATGAAAGAAGCATCTTAATTCCATGTCCATTCATTGCTTTACCGTATTTGTATACATACATACATACATACATACATACATACATACATACATACATACATTATGTTTCTCAGTTTCCGAATTAATTTCATAGTTTGAAATGAAGAGCCCATTTGGTAAGTAAGATTTATAACGAGCTATTTATTATTTTATATCGATTATTTTAATGGACCCAACGTCAGGGGAAAAAAGGCCTTGTTCGATAATCTTATCGACGTAATTGGATCTCTGGGCCTCATCCAGACAAGATAGACCATGTATCTATTTTACTAGTTTATCAACGTTCGAAATTTATTTTACTAATTTTTTTTTCTTAAATTCAGGTGGAAATACTAACGTGGAATAAAAAAAGGATTAAATTCTATTAATTTATCACATCATTCAGAAAGTGTTTTAATGTTCTGCGTACATTGGAATGCAATAAAAAAAATGTCGTATCAACTAGTATTTTATTCAAAGAAAAAAAAAGACAAAGAAAGAAAATAAATGAGCCTTGGATGCGATTAGACACCAAATATTTAATAACAAAATAAATATTATTAGAAACGGAATAATCAATAAAAACTATACATCAAATCCTAGCCGTAGGTCGCAGGGAAGACACTGAATTCGTAGTAGACCAACCAAAAAAAAAAAACACGAAGTCAAAGTCTTCAAAAGTACATGGAAAAAAAAGCAAGTCTACTACAAAAGTGTTTCACATTTACTTTTTTATAATTTCAGTGTATCATTTACTGTATATTTTTATCCGTTTGTTAATGGCTTTTTGCAAATGTCAAAAGACATTCCATTTCCCAAAAGGCGTGCTTCGCCCTTTGTTCAAAGCTCTAATCCCCTTCCCTGCTATACATACATACATACATACATACATATATATATATATATATCATTCCCCTCTTTTATATACAAGTGAATTCTAATTATAGATTCTCCTAAGGTTCAAATGACTATGCTTTCAACTAAACGGCGGCTAGTGATGATGGATAAATATCGCAGTGCATAAGCAATTATAATGTGAACTCTCAGTCGCATGGAATTATTCATATAAACTCCAGTTAAAACCAAGACCAATGCAGAGTGTTTAGACATCATGATAGGTTACTGTTTTTTTTATTTTAATTAAAATATAGGACCAAGATATTGTTGTCTTGTTCCAAGGATCCCAACCCTAAATATGTTCCAAGCTGTAATACTAAAGTTTTGGATAAATGAACATTGTTACACCACATATACCATGTACATTACAAGCTGTAAGCTTAAAATACTTATATAGTTATTATAACATCAGATCACCAAAGTCGATCGATTACCACATATCATGATATGATCTTGAATATTATCTGGTGGGTGAAGGCACATAAGATTGAGTTTCGTTCAACAAGCGGACTGGCGCCCAAGGCAGCAGAAATCATTAACGGATAACAATCGACCAAACGGATAACCATGCGAAGGTTTTAAAAAAATTGAAACGGAAGTTGTCGATCATCCATGCAAGAAAAGAAATCGTAGCGAATTCTCTGTAGAGTAGAAAAAAGGGGTCACAGTCAAATCACAAAGGAACATACAAACAAATATGGGGATTCCTTTGGTTAATTATTATCTGATATAAGAATGGGATGTTACGGTGAAGGGCAAGGCTAACGAAACCCTAGAGAACAGAAAGAGAAACGAAGAGTTCGTTGAGGCTTCAGATCTGGTAGATCTGGATGTTAGATTAGAAAACAGACAGATCTGAAGTGAAATCAGACAAATAGACCATCATCATGACTGCAGATCTACATCTGATGTTAATCATCTCGGTTTTGACAGGGAAAGCAATCATAACCAAATCATAGCAAAGAAAAAACGAAACATGAGAAAAAGGTTGTAATGATGAAAACCTTTTCTGCATTTCAGAGGATGGGGGAAAAAGTCAGATTCCCTCATCATTACCCCAATCTGCAAAGCCATATACCTAAAACAAAACCCACCTGGGTTTTCTTTGTTTGGTCCCAAAATAACGCGAAAACTTTCCAGATGTCGACTTTTTCCTGCAAAACAATCACAACGATATCGGATTCTGATTCACGAAAAGTGATAAAGATCGAGCCTTTACATGGTTTCCCGAATCGAAACCCTAGAACGATAAGGTATAGCGCGTTCTCAAGGAGCAATAATTGGGGGGAATGAAGCCTGGTCCGACGACGCTACACAACCCTAATTAGATCTCGAGACTACGATCAATTATGGTAATCGAAGAACCGATATCATTAAGGAGAAGAGGAGCAGAGTCCTCGAGCCAGACAACATTCCCCTCAAAAGAGAAGCCCCCTTCAATTGGATCTGCAAAATAATCTAGGGTTTTTTTTTTCTTTCCCTTATCTCTTCGTCCCCCACGAGATCCGCCTGAGTTCAAGGGAGAGAGAGAGAGAGAGAGAAAGAGACGGGTATTGTGGTGATAAGAGAAGAAGTGATGATGAAGAAAATGATGAGAGGAAGAAAGGGTTTTTATGAAGAAAGCGAGAAGTGAAGAGGCAAGGCTATAAAAAAGACAAAAACATGGTTGCCAGATCCCTACCCCACAACGATTATGACCACGACCCTCTCTCTCTCTCTCTCCATACATACATACATACATACATACATACATACATACATACACGTCTCTATATCTATGTATACGTATATATGCCTTTTCAAGTTTCAAGATCTCACGGTAACATTGGATTTACTTTTGGAGACATGTCACTGGATTCCCATTTAATTACTGTATTATTACTTGTTCAAGGAAATTATTAAATTCTACTCCACCACCTGCCTTGATTCCCTCTCCTACTTCTTCTATATGAGAGTTTTCTCTACGTTACATTTATACATATATATATACACTAAATATATATATGTTTGACATTATTACAGTCTACGCTGCTGTGTATGCCGAATGAATCAATGTTAAAAATGAAATTCGTTTTTTTTTTCAGTAGATTTGGATCAGAGAATACGTAAGATACAATTTTAATCGTGATATCTATATATATGTAATAATGTAAATATGCATAGACAAAAAAATGAAAAAGGGCAATACAGGGACCGCGTAAGAGCAGTGAAAATAATAATAATAATAATAATAATAATAATAATAATAATAATAATAATAATAATAATAATAATAATAATAGAAAAGGAATCAAAAGTTAAAGGGGCCTGTGTATAAAAGTTAGTCAGAGGAGTGGTTGAGTTATTGATCTGCCCGATATTAGCATTCTCCATTTATTATCTTTTCACCTTTTTTCAATTTAATTTATTTTTTTCATCACCATTATTAAATTCGCCCGTTTCATTCAAATTTCAAACAAACACCAATAAAATATTGTACTAGTACGTTCATAATATTATGCTCGTGATTGCAAAACAACAACAAACGCAAGTGATGGTGATTGCAATTAAAAATAAATAACACATAAAATGTTATCGTGGTTCGTGAATCCATGATAGAGAGAGAGAGTATTGTTTATGATTCCACATAACGAAGATGATGTCATCGAAAACCGATTTATATATAAAATCACCCTTAACCAAAAAAAGGATGCAGTAATTAGCACTGTTCGGGTTCATGATTTTCACGCAAAAACACTTAAATGAACTGCCTGTTATGTTTCTTATTATGCAGTAATTAGGTCAGCAGATTCCGGTTAAAGAAAATGTTAAATTTTCCTTAAACCGGAAAAAATTTCCACACACACAAACATATATATAAATATAGTCAAATGTCAAGGTAATTATTTACACGTCAGACGATTAAAAGTGGGAGAAAAAATTAGCTTTTCCATTAAGGACTTTTGTGTATGTAAAAAGTTTCTTTTCATCCAATATCCACAGCTTTATTATGTCTGTTTATCTCCTTAATAATTTTTAAACGTATATTATATGATTAAATGGCATACGGTCATTTTATAACCAAACGGCAGAAAAATAAATTACAAACCTGATTAGAAATCACGCTTAGTGTTTTTCTTTTCAAGTTGGTGTTTTGTCTGAGCACTTTTAGATTCTGTAGGAGCGTTATGCATATTTATGGAAATATGTATGTGGACCGTTGTGGTGCATTAACAATACGAGACGCATTAATGCGTTGATCTTATACATTTGGTACATCAGTACAGGGGAAATAAATAAATATATATATAGATATATAAAGAAAAGATAACAAAATTATTTATTTTTTAAAAAAAGAGTAGAGTGCCCGCGACATGTGCTGCAACATTAGTTAGCTTGCTAATGTCCAAGCAACTTCATGAGTTCCCTGTGTCAACACACATATCAAAGACGTGCATAGGTGTTTCTGGTATATGTACATAAATATACATAAACCATCATGTATGCATGTGTATATACGTATTACGTACGTAAGGTAAATACGTATATATACTGTGCATGAGAATGACAAATGGAGAAGACGATTCCGGCTACAGATTTCAACGTTTTGACAGTCTTCGAGAGTTGTGTCGCAGAGAGAGAGAGAGAGAGACGGGGAAGGAGAGAGGAACAAGACGTAAATGTCAAATCCCTGCATATCCGAACCCACGTTGTCCACTCGTACATTCCTTTTCTTTTATTCAAAAACTTTATACTTAATTTTTATATTCTACCCAATAAACTATTGTTGTTATTCGAAGTGTAGCACTTACTGCTTTCGAGGCTTTAAACTCGGCAGCTGTTTTCAAATAGATTCACATTTTAAATAACATTGTATCGTACCCATTTCAACGAGAAGAATAAGTAACGCCTCGGCTACTAGAGTGGAACAAATTAAGCACGATACAATTACTTGTTATCATATATCGCATGGCCAATTCAAATAATAACTTAAAATGTAAATCCATGGATCCCCTATACAAAAACTAACGCTTATCTCCTATATTCGCATGGCCGTACGAAAAGACTTTAAAAAAAAAAAAATCGCCGTGTAACAAGTAGAAAGTCCGGGTAGAAATGGTGACACAGAGATTCAATTTCTTTATGATTTTTAATAATAATGTTATTAAATTAGGGTTTTTTAATAAAAATGGCGGAAAATTAGGATCAATGACGGAAAATAGGGGGTAGCATGGTAATTAGCGAAATATGAATGTGGAGTACAAAGGCATTTAATGCCTCTTTGTTCGTATTCTCTGCCTTTGCATTTAATTCTCCCTCTGCTCCTCGATTGAGAGAGATTCCAACTCATTCACTTTTTCCTTTGTTTATTTTTGTTTTGTTTTACCTTTGTTTGGTTGGTCAAAGTGGGGAAAGACCGGAAAATATAATTTTGATATTATTATATTGTATAATTATGGCTATGATCAACTTCTCTCTAAATAAAATATGCTGGAAATTTGACTTCTAAACAATCATCGACGCATGTGAATAAATAGTATTTCGATTTTGGGGAACTTGGTAAATTTTCATGTTTATACATAGTAGATGAAAATATATTTATTATATATATGCATGATGATACAATACTATACAATTAAGTAAAAATAAAAACAAGAACACATAATAAATGTATCAAATATTCTGTTACCGGTGAATTATTCGAAAACAAATGTGACGAGGATAATATAATACTCCATTCATTTTTAAATATATGTCGTTTTAGAATTTTTTTTTTTGTTACTAAATACATGTCGTTTTACATTTTTTATACAATTTTTTAGTGAAGTTTTTAATTTTACCTATATTTAAAAACATTTAGATTGAATAGATAATTAATAAAAATATTATTTAATAAGGGTATATATGATTTTTCTTAAAATTTTATTAAAAAGTGTGATAAAATCTAAAACACAAATCTTTTGAAAGCGGAGTGAATAATTTATAGAATAAATAAAATAAAGCAATGAAATGAGCCAAAAAAAAAAGAGTGTGGATCTCAAGGCAGCGGGGAAGAAGGTTTTTCGCAGCAGCTGGAAGTTATATTAAGAGAGACCCATAGGAAGGTCCATTGATGAGACACCCAACTTGTCAATCTTATGTCACTGTTATTTTTACCATCTCCTCGAAAACTCCATACATATATATACACACATGTGTGTGTATATATATATATATATGTAACCTATCTATTTGTATAGTCGAATTCACAATTTATATTAAAAAATAATAATTCATTTCAAGAAACCTAGCCGTTGGACCTGGGTCTGCAACTTGAAAGAAAGTCAAACGAGCCTAATGGCTTTTCGGTATGTTCATATTTCAATGACAAATGGGCCTAATGACAAAACAAAGATGGCCCATCTAAATGCTGCAAGTAATTCCCAGTTTTACTGCCAGCCCAACAAAAAAAAAGAGGATTTTGGTAATTTACAATAACAATAACAATATATATATATATATATATATATCAAGGTCACAAAATGTATTTATAACCGGTACATGTGAATATATGCATGTGTCAATGTTGTGGTTATGACTTACGTTCATGTAAATTACTATATGTTAGCTCCATCGAATTTTATTATATCGTTAAGATAATGGATATAAAAAAAGAAACAAACAGAAGGGGTGGTGATTCCTGGAGGTAAATTAAGGGAGTGGATCAAAAAGAGGCACGTGACATTAAATTTTTGATCGCATAAAAATGTATCAAAAAAAAAAAACAGCGGGTTGGGTCCGACAGCGTCAACACCATGACCCTCTTCTTTCGTTGTGTCGCCTAAACTCCGGTTTCCATCTCGACGTTGAGATTACGGTCACGTGGCACTACGTGTCCACTATTTACACCGTTAAATAAAAACATGGCGCATCCATTACATGATAAATAATATCCAAAAACATACACACACGTATACCAAGGAAAATGTACGACGTTTAATTAATATATACTATTATTTACCAAGGAAAATGTACCGTTATATTTGCCGAGGAATCCCGTACGTAATGAGTAGGAGATCGAATGTTTTACTTCATATATATATATATATATTGTATGTAATTCAAGACGAGTGGCTAAGAACTGTTCTATTATCACGTTTCTTCATGAACAAACATATATATGCACTGTATACGATGTATATGTATATTATGCACTGTAGATATATGTGTTCCACGTAGAGAGGAAATGATATAAAAATGACCATAAGACCGTATAATACGGATAAAATTAACGTCGTATCATTCACCGTCCATGTCCAGCTACTCCTCTCTATCTTTTGTTTTTTTTATATCCCTTTAACCAAATTATTTGAGTTCCATTAATTTGGGGGGTGTTGGTCGGATTTAATGATTTATACGCGTAATTATATTTAGCAAACTATGTGTTTATTAACTTTATTTCGTTAAAAAAAACGCCGAACTGCTTTTTTTTTTCTTCCTTCCATTGATTGCTTTACGTAGTAGTTAAAGGTGTAGGGTATAATTGTTGGCCATTAGAGTTGCATGTGATAGATAATATAAAATATTATATTCTCTTGATAAATAAATATAATAATTGATTGTCACGGTGCATGATAGCGATGAACATCGACCCTGAGTAGTATGATAATTTTCGTTTTTTTTAGCATTTTATCAATAAATATATACTTTTGGGCGGTGAAAATGTCGACACTTCATTGGCCGACATTCCAAGTAGACCCACTCCGTCGAAATAATAATACGATATGAAAACTATACATAGAATCTCTATGTACGACAAGTTTAATTATATTATTTAAAATTATAATTGGATTGATTAAATTGGTAAACTAAAAAAATCGTGGGTTTTGAAACAAAATTGCGGAAATTTACATGCAAGAATACATATAGATCTCCGAAAAGTTCAAAGCTAAAGCATATGAAATGGGCCGTGGGAAAAATTCCGAAAGAATGGTGGGAAGATAAAGAGTCAACGTCGTCTTCTCACCATGAACACGTTCAAAGTCCTACTTATTATTTTATATAATTATGGGAGTTCGTATACAGTTTCCTAATTCTTATTAAATGACATGATCATGTAACAATTGCATATTTATATATGGTTAAGTAGTTAGTATTCACATACTATGTTCATTTATGATTTGAATTAACAAACGTAACAAGGACACGCGGCAGTGCGAGGGGCTTGGCAAAGAGGAACAAGGCACCTAGTCTTTATCGTTTTTTAAAAATAAATAAATTAATTAAAAATAATTCTTGAGGAAAAGGAAAAAAGAATTGTCATTTCCTACGGATCTTATCAGGAACCGCGATATTTAAGTTAACCACGACACGTGTGGTTTTCTGTCGGGCAAATCTTCAGGCACAACCACAAATCGAATGCCACGTCACCCGTTATCAAGTTGGATTTTCCCGAAGCAAAGATCTCTGACAATTTCCAGATCCAGGTGGCAATTTCCTATTGGTCGATTTGGACAGCTTCTCCTCTAAATTCTTTAGCCCACTAAAAATTTTCGTTTTGTTTGAAAAAAACATTAAATTCTTATAAAATTTGCTTCTCATTTTTTTTTTCACAACTTCTCTCGTCTTAGACCGCTTGCTTGTTATTCGGAAACGAATATATATTGCGGGAAATATAACATATTTTATGGTGTTAGATACATAACTTTATTTACAATTTTTTTAATCGTTGTATATAATCAAGCCATTTGAAGAAAAGCATGAGAATATGGAACTCAAATTTTTTTTCCTAACCTTATAATGGAATGCATTTTGATTATAATCAATCCAATTAATTTTGAAAATTTCAGTAATTTATTAGGGTTTCATAAATTGTTTCAAGGAGGAAAATTGGAAGAAATGACGTTCCATTAATCCATGAAGCCGCCGTAAGATCCTACAGGTGGCCCGATGCAATTTGTTGTCGTGTTAATTAGTCAAAAGAGATCTCCCATCCCACAAGCAAAGCGAATGTAACCTTAGACTAATCAAAAACATAAAAATAAAATTAAAAAAAAGTTACATATTCGGACAAGCGACTGCTTATAAAAGAAAAAAAAGTTGCACATTTACGGTGAAATGAACCCGACGGTCCATGAAAATCATAGGCAAATTTTTTTTATTAATTCAATTATCAAGGTTAATAATACTCGATTAAAAAAATATATAACGACAGGTCATATATATGTTAGAACGTTTTCCACGCAGCCGACCTTGAATAGAGTGAGGACAAAGGAATCGATACAATATATAAGATTATCCTAATGGTTTTCAAATACGTAGCAATTAACAGTCGTCGTACGTTGATAGATGTGAATTATGCGAAATCCGTTGCACCATAATAAAAATTAATACACCACAATTTCCTTATAAATATGTTAAAAATTATGTTAGAAGTCGATTTTCTGTGCATGTCATGTGTACAAGACTACGTATGCATGGAGACGTGTACAAGTGTAAACCTAATAACTTGAACTCTGATATTATTTTATGGGTTTTACCCTTATGAATATAAACTTTGCTTTGAATTGGATAAACAAAACACAAAGTCTGTTTGATTGTACATTAGATCTAAATTATCTACAAAAAAAAATGCTATTTCAATTATTATATGATAATTGATGATAAGTTTGCAATTACATGGATTGAAACGCGACTAAACGAGCGAAAGAGACGGCTCTAGAAGGAGCCAAGTTTCATTGCTACATCTCGAGCCACAAATTTGTGGAAATTAATTGATTAAAAAAAATTGATTGAATGGAAAAAAGAGAGGATAAAAGCGTAAAATAAAAAAGGAAAAGGAAAACACAGTACTTACGGGACCCCAAAGAAATTGAGATATAAACCATAATTTATAAAAATTGTAACGCATTCATTTGTATATAAAGGGGCTAATATCACAAGCATCGAGATTCCAATTAAAAAAAATCCAAATCCTCTTCCTTCCAGAACTTGAAACACCGGAAAGTTCTTCCATCAGACATAAAAAAAAAAAAACAGCTCCGAGATTCGAAGACTTCCATGTCGGAGAGAGGGGAATATTCTCCGGCGACAATTCCGGGGATGACAGCAGACCCTTTCAGCTGTATCAACGAACTCGGCGCCATGGCCATGAAGAAGAAGAAGTGCAAGAACCAGAGGAGGTTCACCGATGAACAGATAAAGTCGCTGGAGCTCATGTTCGAGTCGGAGACAAGGCTCGAACCCAGGAAGAAGGTGCAACTGGCCCGTGAGCTCGGGCTGCAACCAAGACAGGTGGCTATATGGTTCCAGAACAAGAGGGCACGTTGGAAATCGAAGCAGCTCGAGAAGGAGTACAACATTCTCAGAGCTAATTACAACAACTTGGCTTCACAGTGCGATGCCCTGAAGAAAGAAAAGCAGGCTTTGGTCTCTGAGGTATGTGATAGATATTGATATAGAAAAAACAACGATTTCAGACAGAAACTTACAGAGAGAACACCCTTATGTATGTGCAGTTGCAGAGGCTGAACGAGCTGATGCAGAAAACTGAGGAAGGGCAGTGTTATGGGCAAGGGGTGGCACTGAGCAGCACGGACCATGAGTCGGATAACGGCGAGAACACTCGGTATCAAACCGAAGTGAAGCCGGGGAAGTATGAGAACGGACCAGGGGTTTTGTCGGACGACGACAACATCAAGACTGAGTATTTCGGGTTCGAGGAAGATCCAGACCTTATGGGCATGGTGGAACCAGCTGACAGTAGCTTGACATCATCCGACGACTGGGGAGGTTTCAAGTCAGATGCCCTTTTGGACCAATCCAGCAGCAACTACCCATGGTGGGATTTCTGGTCCTGAAACTTCGAAAAAATAAACAATCTTCACAATATGGAACAAGAGGCTTTGAACAGAGTATTGAGGAATGGAGACAACTCCGAGCATTCACCAAAATATCTTCGGCCAATGTTTATCACATGGATCAAGCAAACGATACTGAAGAGTTAGTTCGATCTCAGGACTTTTGCAGGGTTTTGAGCTTGAAACTGCTCCCTACACACCCATCAATCCATAGAGTTTGTGTACAAATTCTGCTAGAGAATAAAGCATCTCTGATAGTCGTAGTTCGTTCTGTTGCTGTTCCTCTTTAGTGTTTTTCATAGCAGTTGTAGCCAAAGTCAGGTCAGTTGTAGCCAAAGTCAGGTCAGAAAGTGGGAAGAATGATAATAAAATCAAGGGGCAGAGTGTCAGAAAGCGTCACATGATCTGAAACTCATTTTAAGACAGCCAGAAAAGGAAACGCAGACAAGCACTTGATCTGAGAGTTAAGACATGTGATAAAATGAGATCAAAACCACTACAACGCACACAAATCCCAAGTGGATCACATTCGAGAGAGAGAAGGATGAGATCGAGAACTTTTAGGAACATTAGCGGCTGCAGTACAGTGAGACGGGCACACCATCAAAGGCACACACTGTAACATTTAACTCAGAGAGACAAAAGGAAAGATTTTTTCTTTGCCCAAATTGAGGAAAGCCCAGAAACAGCAGCATATGATCAAAAGGAGATTCCGTATCAGAGATACGTTTTCTGTTCGAACAGTGCTCCAATCACGAACGCATGAAACAAGTTGGAACCCTAAAATCTGCCATAATCCATCAGAATCAGATCCAGCAACACAATTGGAACGGGGATAGAACTAAAAGCCAAGATTACGGCCGCAGAACAAAGTTTTCTCTGGAAACGAGCATGTTACAGCGGTTTAAAAAGAAAAGAAGAAAACCCAAAGTAACTCCTCACTCTTTGGCCGGATCATGATGTTCAACAATCTTCCACAATGATTCTGCTGAAGAATTTAGATCTCCAAAACCGAAATTTTCTCCAAGGTTTGGGCTTTTCACCATTATCACTCAAATCGAAGATCTTGTGGTCTTCTCAATCTTGTGGGTAAATCTCGTTCTCTCCGGAATCGCCATTGTCCAAACAGTACGACGTCGTTTTATCTGCAAAACTCAAACATAAAACTACTAAAGCCCATACATACTAAAGCCCATCATTTAATGGGCCTTTATATTTAGGCCCATTTAGTAGTCCGGTGTATGGATCCGTGACGGATAAAACACACGTACAAACCAATTGAAGAGTTATTAATTTCATGGAACATATGGTATATGATGTTAAATAGGTAAATATAACATATAAACCACATTTACATTGACTAATCACACATGTAATTTATATCCAATACAGAGTTTTATATTTGTAATCAGGGTACATTCCATCGCCTTCAAAAGTTTTATAAAATTACATATATATAGCTGGTGATTTGTCTTGTTTGATAAATTCAAAATCAAAGATCCTTTCTTTTTTTATTTTTCAAAAATGATAAAGACAGTCAAAAGGTTCTGATTCAGCCCTTTATTGTAATGGAATTTCATGATGTAACTGCGACTTGGTAAATAGAAGTTTTATTGATCACGTCGATCATTATAATATTAACTTGAAGGAATATAGAGCTATGTGCCAACTAGCACGGGCTGTAGCCTGTAGACATGGTCTCGCGACACATATATTCACAACATATTCTTTATATGTAAATATATTTACTCCTAATTCCTTTTTTATATTTTTTTATTCAAGTGTCCAATACCTTCCAAATACCTGTTACTTTTGAAGATTACCAGTTAGACATTCAACCCTATATTACCTGAGGAGCAACATCCAAACATTTATGATATATATATATATATATATATATATATATATATATCATTAATAATACTATTAGGACATAAGACTAATTCCCATTGATATATACTTTCTTTGGTTTAGAAGTTACGAGATTACGGTGTGATTTTTCTTTTTTTGGTAGGAATAAACGTTATGTTATGAATGACGCACATGATTTGAGTTACAATATTTCCTCCTCCTTTTTATGTAGAATGTTGGACTAATATAATATTATAATACGTAAAATAAGATTAGAAGGGGGATGTGACACATTTTGAATTTCTGGGATTTGGGTTTTATTAAAAAAAGGACCAAAGATTTTGTTACATGTTTTTAGAAGGATATCGTGGAAGATGTATTAAACAAAAAAAAACCGAAATTTATAGTAAAAAGGATAAAAATTGAAGAATCTATAATTGTTTCTTATTGACATGTTTTTCAAATTTTATGTCGTATATGTTTAACGGTGACTATATTTTATTCATGTTGTCGCGAATAATAAGTGACTATGATTTGGCCATGCATGCAGAGAGGAAAATATTCTATTTTTCCTTATATAATGATTTTCTCGGAAATAAAAAGATAGCATAATTAAAGTCATAACAAAAAAATTGAACACAATAGATATTCCTGTAATCTCTAAAACAATTGGACTTGGATTCGTTTGATCAAATGAGATTAAAAATTTCAATTAATTAATGACACTGTCACGTATGCATACATGCAAGTGGTACGTGTGACTACAGAAACATTTCTATCAGAATCAAATCTCCATAGCTACACCGAGGGATACGATATCTACGAACTTTAAAGAAAAAGAAATCCTCTGTATTCTTTACAATAGTGAGTACAAATCTTGTTATTTCTCATAATTTTATTTATTTTCATGATTGTATATAGGATTCATGCAACAATATAGGAAAACCATGGATTACTATACTGATTTGCCACTAGCTAGGTCTTGTATACGCACGAGAATATCAATCACACCCTTATATATATGTATATTTTTATATATATATGTATGTATGTATTCCCATATGTACGAAAGATACTTTTTTATTTTAGTGTAATAAGTGGAACAAAGCTGTTAGATTCTTCTTTTTCCGTCGATTTAATAATGCTAAATATGCATATTCGCGTTTCCATGAAAATAACACATTGTGGCATATTATTACATCTTTACTTTGGTAGATCTCGCACATGAAACTAAAAGAAAAAAGTCAACAACCTCGCCACGTTGACCATGCATAAAAGAAAAGAGGGAGAAAGAACAGTCAACGCTTTCAAAGAATTGTTGCACCTTTACGCATTACCTTGTAAAGAATGTAATTAAATTGCATCTATTGTTTCTAACAATTAAGTTTCAAATATCAATCTTGATCTTTAATTTCATTATTCAGTTGTAATTATGTTCATAGAAAATATGATTATGATTGAGTTTGTGTTGCGAGTTCAGTAATCGAATCAAATATATGTAGCTATTCTTTTTTATAGGATTCGAAATTTTTTATACTTTGAATTAGTAAACAATACGAAATATCCTGAATTTAAACTCATCACCTTAGATTAAAATTTGATTATTATTAAATCAAAAGTCATTTACATTAAAACAATAAACAATATTTTAGTTTATGTAGTGGAAGGTACAGATTCTGTAAATCTGGGCGAGGTGCACTAAATATTTTCTAGTATTGTATATAGATTTGTATCAACATTCTTTAAATTTTTCGTGTCAATATGTGTATATACGAACATTTGTAGAGGTAGACTTCAATATATTCTCTCGTTGTACGTATATAAATATTTCGAGAAAGGAGAAGAGAAACAATTTCAAAGCAACATGTTGCAATTATTACAGAATCTTTTGACCTATAAAAGCGATTTCGAACGATCTTGATTTTTCTAAAAATTAGATTTTGGCATCGTATCCATTTTAATTATCAATTAAAGAAATTATATAAAAAAATATCAATTAAAGGTTAGCCCAGTTAATGCCCTGCTCGGGTAAAAACATTAAAAATGACATATATATGATATCTTCATGAGACAAATTATGTGCATGAAAACATATGTAACATGACTATGAATTCTGCGCGGTTATTTGGTTTCCGTTGTCCATGAGAGTTTTAATTATTAACCAAAGGTGACTGTCAAAAACTGTTTTGATGAAAGGTTATTTATATAATATTTTCGTGGACGGTAACAGTGAAAAAAAACTTACGTTGAAAAGAACCAAGATTGATTTTAGCGGCGGATTTTATAAATTAAACAACCGACACATTTTTTTGTCGTTAAGCGGACAAATTATTATTATCATTCTGGTCATCGATTACAATTATAACGAGGAGTAGACCATACATGCATCTACATAAAATGATTTTGACATATATATATATGTCAAGGGTTTGTAGGCAATGCACTGGAACCTAGCTCGCTCGGGTCGGGCGACATTGGCTACCCGACCAACCACGTGCGGCATGGCCTAAAGGTCGCGTGGCCAGTGGGGCACGATCTCCTAATGGGCTTGTTACTCATCGTGCATATAAAATATATATAGCCTTTTAACTTAATTGGAAAATTTCACCTTAGTAAATTAACCAATATGTATCATAAATTTATACAACATATAAAAAACAATATTTAAATATCTGCATAGTATATATATATATATATATATATATATATATCCTAAACCTACATTTTATTTTTTACATTTATCTAGAATCGTAAAAAATAAATCGGTAGAAAACGATCTATATATCCACTATATAAACGATATAATATTTCTACAAAACTAATTTATTAAACCATAAAGATAAACCTTGTATATATGATATGATCTCAAAATATTTGCACACATTTTATATTCTTCGACGAGTATATTTTTATCTCATTTTGTACGTCATTAAAGTAGTCGAATTACACATTTTTTCGAAACATATTTAAGAAAATATATGGTCGCTATGCCATCATCAGTTAATTTTTTTTTTCACAGCTTATAGTTTTTTGTATAAATAACTTACGTGGTAGGTTAAGAAGATCGAGAGAGCAAATCGGCTTTAAAAAAATAAAAAATCGGTTGATACGGTGTATAGCCTTTTAAATAAAACTATAATATATGTATATGGTTGGGTTCTATGATGGTCCTTTTGATCGCATAAAGACCATATCTATCTCATGAACTATTCGATATCTCCAAGGTTATATTCCCTGCAACTTGTAAGAAATCCATTTGCATTCATCTAAACAAATGTATTAATATTAATATTAATTTCGTCAAGTACAAGGATTCTATGTACCTATGACGACAGTCAAATTTTAATTTAGTCTTTATAATTAAATTAGTCTTTTAAGCCATAGTTTAATCACTCTCTAATCATGGTTATGCAATCAGATCATGAAAGGATAGAAGAATCCTAGCAATTTGCATCATTAAAAGTGGATCATTTAATTGTTTTACACAAAATTAAATGATTATATATTTTACCTACCAAGCTATACCCACTCCAATTGTTTTTTTTTTTCATTTTATTTGTGCATTGTTGGGCTCCATGTATGTATCACCCACAACCATTATATATGACATGCTCTCTATGCATATATCAACATCCAATTTCTGTCGTCCACAATTTTAATATGACAATTGAATTAATAATTACTTCTAAAAATAGACCATACACACTTTTTAGGTTTTAATGTTTTTTTAACTAGACATTAATATCGTTGTTGAAAATTTATGGAATAATGATTTAAATGATATAAATTTGCATGACATGTTCAAAATTTGATTTCGAATTTTCATATTAGTCATTAAACTAAAAAACTAATAAAAATGGGGCATGATTCAAGCGTATTGTTATGCGTATAATATTTTATATAATGTTATATATATAGTGATATTGGCCTATATGCACATATATATACACTTACACTTGCATAAAACATTCTTGGCATTAATATAAGGCGAAGTTGCATGGTATCCTCATCAAATGGAAATTAAGAAAATGACAATAACATAATTGACGAATTGGATCGATCGAGTCCATTACTCCACTGCCAACTTTGCCCCTTCCAAAAGGGCAATGCACCAACACATTTATCCCACAACGCTACGCCTCGTAGATGTAGATGCACCCAACAAATTGACATATATATATATATATTATTTCATTTCGTTCAGATTATAAATAAAATTCTAATTGCTCTTACTTGTCACTAATCTCATTACTCATTATATTGATTATGACAAACCTACTCTCTAGCTAGCCCCCTTTTGAGAAGCGTTATTCATCCGAATTTCTTCGATTCTCTTCTAAGATATAGTTGGACTAAATATTCGATGAATTTCCCAATTATCAAAAAATAAAGTTACTAGTTATAACAATAATATTAATTATAATGCATAAAGATTGATACGCTGCATTAGCCATCATTTTTACGGTTCCTCTTAATGCGGGTGGTATTTCATTTATTGAACTGGTCAATAATGATATTTTTTCAATGTGTGACGTCGAACTAGA